GAGTCACACAGCTAAGTGTTCTTCAATCATTAAAATGAACGTATAATCAGTAGTTGAGCGACGGCGGGCGGTGCCTGCTATCTGGCCGTGCCAACCACTGTATAGACTTCTAGCCCAGACTGTACCATTGGAGCTTATGAAATTTGGAGATTATGAACCGCTCTGTTTTTGGTACCTATCTAAACGTTGGAGTTTGTGAAATTTGGACATTGTGAAACAGTGATTATTTGAATGTTATAGATTTGGAGCTTATGAAATTTGGAGATTATGAAACGCTCTGTTTATTTAATATATTAGCGTTGGACTTTGTGAAATCATCGTTGGAGTTTGTGAAATTTGGACATTGTGAAACAGTGATTATTTGAATGTTATAGTTTTGGAGCTTGTGAAATTTGGACATTATGAAACGCTCTGTTCATTTAATATTTTAAGCGTTGGAGTTTGTGAAATTTGGAGTTTATGAAACGCTCCCAAGCATTATTCTGCCGTGAAACACACATAGGATTGTAGGCTAGGCTATGATTTAGGCCTAGGATATAGGCTTAACCTCTAAACAACCACAATTTCAATAACACGAATTTGGACATAAATAATAATAGGACTCCTTACCCAGTGTAATATTGATAAATACTACTACCACCTGACAATACACAACTTCTTTTATACTAAAACACTAACCTCTGATGAAAATTAGCACAAATAATAATGTAGCCGCACTGTAAACTTTACTTAGATCCCGGCGATCAGAACGCAAACAACTTGTTTTTCCAGTTACAACTAATGTGTCACCTGAATCTCAATACTGAAAGGCACCAAAACATAGAGATAGAAAGTTTTCTTAGCTTCTTCAAATAGGTCGATGACTCTCATCACTCTAGTCAATTATCAACATATTTATTCGTGATTTAGACGAAATTTTGTTGGCGGTTCGGACAAAATGGCCAACTGACAAAACAGCTATTTAAAAAAAAAATATTTTTCAGACTTCCTAACATCGTATGACAAAGTTGAGTTCTCTATACGAAAATAAGGAACAACTCAAGTTCTTTCCAATGGTACCAACCACTTCCTGTTAAGGCCAAAATTAAGACTTGTCTTGTAGATTTTTTTCAAGAAAACGTATTTTACAAGATTTTTTCGATCGCGGCTCGAAAATGTTACTAGCGCAAAAGATTGTTCAAATTATAATAGCAATTGTATTGATCTGTTAGTGCTACGAGGTTTGTTTATATACTATGAAAATAAAAGTTCAGAATCTCCTCTTTCCAACGGTATTAAAATTATTACACTTTTGGATCATTTTCTTTGCGTAATTTAAGCGTTAAAAAAATATCCGAAAAGCCGTTAAACTGCGTTTGGGCACCGAGCGCACACATCAGAACGCCGTTTAAACGGCGCAAGGCAGTCCTAGGGTTGAAAATAACACCACCTGTAGGCTATTACAAAACCTAGGTAAATTTCTGGGTTACTGACATGTGAGATATTTAGTAATTTTTACACAAACAAACCCTGAAAAAATCTGTTAAAACCTAACTTATCAAAATTTTAATCCAACCCAGGGGTTCTCAAACTTTACTTACTCTAGGACTCCCATAACTTAAGTTAGTTATGTATTTAAAGCTATATAGGTAAGTTAACTACCCCCAATGACCCCTTAAGTTAATTTTATTTTAAACTAGCAGAGTACCCGTCCTTCGTACGGGGTTAGCATATAAGTATAAAATGATTATTACAGTTATGGGAGAGGACACGGTTTAGGAAAATTTTGCCTTTTAATTTATAAGGTATCCTATAGTGTAGCACACATCTACCATAGCCCTAATGTTCTACCACTGCACCTAAACCATAGAAAAAAGTAAAGTTCTCATTGTGTACCACAACTTTTTGGCCTGATAGACGTTGTCCCGTTCTAATGTGGTTTTATGTCAAATGCTTCTTCATTTTCAAGATGAGCTCGTTCGCATCGTTCAATCACGTCCTGGTTGAAGTTTGTTTGCTATGCATACTCACCTTTAGGTTGGAGCTCGTTCGCTGCGCTCACTTGCCTTCAGGTTTAGCTCGTTCGCTACGCTAACTCGCCTCCAGGTTGAAGTTCGTTCGCTACGCTCACTCGCCTTTTAATTGCAAATTAGCTGTATTCATAAATAAAAAATAATAATAGTGCTGCACCCTGTTGCTAAATCTATTAACTTTTTAATACTATTAAACATCATAGAATCAAATTGTTTAGTTGAACCATCTGTTAAGATTCTATAATTCCATTTAACACGTTCGCTGCTACGGACGTTCCGGAACGTCAGCCGGGCCACGGCGCCAGGAGCTAAGAACGTTCCAGAACGTCACCGTTCATTGTTGTTTAACGTTGCTATGGATAAGCCAGCACGTCACAAGCGTTCTATATTTCTTTGCAGCTCGTACGGACGTACTTTTCTGACAATAAAAAATATAGTTTCCCAAATCACCACCAGGGTCGTTTGGAACAGGGCTTTGTTTTACCTCTTTCCTGCTAGATAGCGACACTATTTTACTGACTGTAACCTGGGTAGTGCTGCTATCTATCAGAATCACTTAGTACTATATCCAAAGCCAGTTTTATTGCAGAACATTGCCATCCAGTATAGCTACTGTTGTTTTTACTGTAACTCAGTGTATCGGTGGCAATGTCACGCAGCGGCCGAGCGTTAGTTCAGCAACTGGCGCCGTCCCGGCATCTAGCGCTCAGCAGCGAACGTGTTAAACAAAGTACTCATAAGGTTAACATGGGGAACTACAGAGCCACTGGGGTGGAGTCCAAAAGGATTTTTGAGATAAGAATATGCCTAAATGTTAATTGGGAATGTGATCTATCATCATGCCAAATTTCAGCCCAATCCGTCCTGTAGTTTATGCGTGATTGAGCTACACACATACACACGAACTCACAAACTTTCAGATTTATAATACGTATTAGTAAGTATTGATAATTTCAGTTAAAAAATAATTAACAAAAAAAACCAAAACTGGTATTTTCAGAAAAAGGTACTTTTGGTTTAAAAATAAAATTAGGCCTAACTTAAAATGTTTTTCGCAGTCCCCCAAAAAACTGCTTGCCGACCTCTGCTAACCACACTTTGAGAAACTCTGACCCAACCAAACCTAACCTAACTAGAAACTTCTGACCCTTAGCAAATTCCTTTCCAACCTGTGACTGCATCAAGTCCTTTGAAGGTACGTTAGATTAGGTAAGATAAAGTTTAGGTTACAGTGAACCAAGTTGTTCGTTTGTTATCCTTATCTCCTGAATATTTTTAGGTAAGCCTATATTCCTGTTAAAGGGAACATTCATTATAATCAATGGTTTTTTTCACCAATATGTCATTTTTTGATCCGATTTAGGCTATCGATACTATTGATCGAAACACATCAGCTGACAACTTATGATAGGCTAAATAAGGTTAAATATATTTCAGTAAAAAAAAAAAAAAAATACTTGAAATGAGACTGTTCTAAGAACCTTACATAACTAAGTTTACCTGAAACTTGCTGTAACATTTCAAAATCCTGTTTGATCTTTGCCAAATGCCTTTTTTGTTATCAAACAGAATTTTGAAATAGTATAGCAAGTTTGGTTAGTTATGTAGGTTATAGAAAAGTTTCATTTCTTATTCCATCCTAGGCCTATAACTTGTATTATTTTGCCTAAACAAGATCAGTTGTCAATTTTAAATTTAACTTGAAATTTAACTTTGTAGATATTTATAGAGACGCACTGTGGTTGCGATACTCCCTGGTGTGGATTAACGTCTGCACTAGTGAGTACTACTATCTGTAGTGCTATCCTGATAATTAGACTAATTTGTTAATACCAAGACAAGAATGTGGTTCGGATTACACTAGTATAAACTGTAGGTCCCTTAGCTCTCATTAGCTGTTTGGGCTATTAATTAACAACTGTGTTTGAGCAATATTTCGGCCTTAGTCACTAACAAGACTACAAGATCACGCCACTCATCCTACACTCACTCATCCTTCCCTCATATTTGGGTTAAAAGACGCACATATTGGCGTCCCCATCAAATAGCCTAATTGATATAATTGATAATTTTCTAGTTAAAACACTGGGAAAAACACTGAAATAGTATTTTACAGTGTCCTACGCAGGGTTTTAAGTTAAGTTAATTGGACAATAATAGTTTGGAGATAAAATAAGTCAAGTCAAGTCAAATAAATCTTTATTCAGACATACAACAATGTGTACATGAATGCGTCTTAATCTTAAACTATAACTAATACTAAAACAATTTTCCTGATCCATTTTATTTTTTTATTAATTTTGTTTTACATATTTACATGTTTATTTACATATTTGAACGTAGTGCAGTAAATTCTTCAAAATTATAAAACTCAGAAAAAATTATATTAACAAAAACCAATATTAATAAAAAATTAATTAATTAATATTAAAAAAAAATTATAACTAACAACTCAGATAACTGTACCCTAAACTTTGACCCTCCTAACCTAACCAACTTCAAAACACTTAGGCCTACTGTAATACAGCCCTGGATTAGCATAAAGAACAATATACCATCCTCACATTCCTAAATAAGGACTATAAAGGGGGTAACTAGGCATCCCATTTACATCCCCGCAATGAGACAAAATTTCCTTGAAAGGAAACATTATTGACTAATGAATCTCTTTAGAAGTCTTTCTATAGGCTAGTCAATGATAATTTTCCATTTAATCAGCGATAGGCTCTTCTTACCCTACTTTAATAGGTACTCTAATAGAATTCCCATCAACAAGTCACAAAAAACAGCAAAGAAAAAGAAACACAAGTAAAAAGAACATGCAAAGCTGCAGCAAAGAAAAAGAACGTGGTCGAATGAACCACTCACGGAGTTGGCTATTGTCTAAATTTTTTTTTTCGCCATGAGAAGTGTAATCCGTGACGGTTGATTTGTCATGAAAAATATTTCATAGTTAACAATAAGTTTTAACATCTTTTACGTTTTTAGGGTTTCAACACTCTGCTTACACTTTTGGAATTGAGTCACATATTTCTCAGTCCAATATCAACGGGGCTCTTGTGCCGCCAGCCGCACTGCTAAGTATACTACAGAAGGGCCTCCAGTACACAGAAGCTGAGATAAGCCTAGGAGAGGTGAGTCATTTGCCAAGGGTTTCACAACTTAAGTACTAAATTAACCTTGGTATTTGATTTTGAACAAATGTTCACGTATTTTTTATAAGTTACTAACCTCATCAAACTCGGCCACAAATGTGTTTTGATTAACCCATTGGAGACCGACCCTATAGTATATGACACGCTGCCTAGGACCGGAATGGTTATAGAAAAAATGCTATAACTTTTGACAAGCAGCACTCTTTCACATTTCTTGAAGGCTGTTCTTGATTTTTTAAAACAAAATCAGTTTACTTTGTTAAATCTTTCAATAGCCTACAGGAAGTTTGTTTTTTAAACAAAAAATACACCATCTTACGATAAATCAGAAGTTGGTCCCCTAAGGGTTAATCCTAGCCATTGTAAATCTTAAAATTTAGTGCCAAACCTACTTTCTTGGAATACCATTACTGTGTTACTATTCGGTTTTAATACCTCGGTTTAATACCGGTGCTAATGTAAACTAGCCATTCCTAACCTCGTACTTTATCAAATAAAATTATTCAAAGATTAGCAAAATTATTAGTTGCCTAGTAAAAGTAAAATCAGACTCAGACTGATCTGGAAGTGGAGTAGCCCTACAGCTTTAATATTGTTATCGTCATGTTTGTGATTTGTGGAACAATTGAAACAAAGAAAAAAAACAAGAGCTGAGCGGAGATTGGGCATTCAGGCTTCTTAACAAATTCAGTTTCTAACTATTGACGTCACAATTATATTTTTCTGCCTCAATCCGAAAGTGTCCCTGGTGTATACAGTCAACTGTATCCCGGCTAACAGCTGAACAAGCCAACAAAGATTTTTTTTTAAATGACACAAAGTTCAGATTTTACTATATATCTTGGTATTGAAAAGTTTTACAGTGGCTTACTACAAGATTCTCTCTTGCCTTCACGCCTGATGTAAAGCTCTTTATAGGTTTAGTTGATTACAAAAACTTAAAATGGTACCATGTTATTTTTGTAATTGTTAACGTTCGTAAAAGTAATTTTAATCACATTAGTTCGTTAGAGAAATGATATAGAATTTATTAAGTTTTTATCAGACACAACCCATAGGGCCTACCCATTTTTTCTGCTGTCCCACAAGCGTTTCTTCATAATTTGAACTTTCATTAATCCAATCACTGAGTCCAAACTGGCCTCAAGTTATTGTCGAAACGAGAATTTTCAAATTTTGAAACCAAGTTTTGAAGTTTGGGATTAGATTTTTAGCCACCACCATCGACCTCAATATTGTTGTTTTAAATTTCTCTGCTAGACGAGCAGCCAGACCATTGAATTTCTTGTGGTTATCTTTGCTACTCTGTGCAGGACGGGTCAGAGAATCGGCTGGTGGAAAGCCTATCTCTGATAGACGCTGTGATGCCAGACATTGTGGCGACTCGGCAAAATCAGCAAAACCAGCAGAAACAACAGATGATCAAGAGCGAACCTCCAGAAGCCAACGGAGAGGAAACCAAGCCCAGTGAGTTACTTATGGAAACATTGCTGCGCTAAATCGGATATGTAATTGAATAGAAATTCAAAGAACAATGAGCTTAGAGTAGTCTTTCTCTTTATCAGAACTGTTTGGTTTGAACATTGGATGTAATTTTATGAGTCACATACCTGCTGCACAACAACACCGTTATTAGCTAAACAAATAAGTTAAAACCGGTTTGATTAGTATTAAGCTCTATGCATAGTGCTTCAAGGGACATTTTACCAATTTCCTGGCAAAATATGTGATCTTAGTTGAAATTCAGTCACTTAAATAAATAAATATAAATTAACTTTCCAAACTTTTTTTCCAAAATTTCCAATTGCACAACACCCAATCTTCTTTTAATTTGGACTTAAGTCGGGCCTTGATATGTCCTGATTGCACTATTGTATTCTTGTAGCATTATACAGGGTGTTTTTTTTTTAGCGTAACCCTAAAAAAATTTAAATCTTTATAATTATGTCAATAATAGTTGATTAATTAGCTACCGTACTGGAATCACACCTGGAAACTTAATTTAAAACCCTTGGCATAAAAACAATAATTTATTTTTAACGCATTCTTACAAATCTTTGAGCTTGGGAAAACACCATGTTGCGTCTTATCTACAATAAATTCCTAATCACACCAAACCTAGTAGATAACTATGCCACAATGAATATAAGCTGATAAGCAATTTATTTTTAACACATTCTTATAAATCTTTGAGCTTGGGAAAACACCATCTTGCGTCTTATCTACAATAAATTCCTTAATAACAACATGAGATTTGTTCGGCTATTATTGTAATAATAATAACGAGATGTTAGCCCGTCCTACGTACGGGAGTAGTAATTTAAAACGGTGTAGGCCTATAATTCAGAACAGCTAGTTTACACGTATAAAGACAAATTTTATTGCAGCCTACAGTAGAAAGAGTAATTATCAATTGAAAAGTGTATAGGCCTAGTCAATGATATCACCTTCCATCGCATACCTACCTCTTCCATAATCAATATCACCACAATACAATTACTCATACTATACACAATTTCCTAGTAGGTCTGAATTGAAACTCCCTAAAATAAAACGAAAACATCCATTAAAAATTAACAGTACCCATAATTATAACGTTGGTGTCCTGACATCATTAAACGAATCGTCCACACACATCTTTTATGTCAATTTCACTGCATCAATTGCTAAATAAATAAGTGTAAACAAAGAAAAGTAAACACAACAACATATTAGTTTGCTTTGTAAACAGCTGAGTCAAAAATAATATTCATTTGAACAAAAGAACTGGTCACATGTTAAAGGAATTTCAAAAGTAAAAACGCTAGTAAAGCTAGTGACGTAAATAATTGTCTATGTTTTTATCCATTTCGTTATCAGTTCCAATATCCTTAATAATTAAACCAACCTCATTGAATCAATGTACATTGTAATTCCCCATATTCATTTATTTAAACTATAAAATATTCAGCGCCTCCAAACGTAACCACAACTAAACACACGCCAAACAACTTTTTTAGATTTCATAAAAGGATGGTTAGGCTAATTGCAGTATCCTAGGTCAATGATGACGTTGTGTTCAATCTATGTCATTCATCTGTATATCTTTGGATAACACCCGTCTGAGGTTGTGGTGGTAATTTAAAATCGTATTCCTGAGGATTCTTGATCTCCATCTTTATGACATCAATATTTCCGGGCCTAATCCAAACAAAGTTCAAGCATTCAAAAACATTGATTGTAAACAAAAAGCTGCCAAGATGAATTAAAACATGTAAAAATTGTGATTTTCCTACCCTTTCAAAAAAAGTTCAGCAGTAAACTAATTTGCATATCTTTTTTATTTAACTCGTGTACAGACAGAGCCTCGACTTGTACACATCAATGGTGTTACTTATCTCGGTGGTCTACTAATCTTACTTATTTCCTATAATCAATGACAAAATAAGAGTAAATAAAATAACCTCATAGTTCCATGGTTTATATTTAACCAGCTGTTAGTTAAAACAAATTATATTGCTCTAAAACAAATTGAAGATAACAAAGATTGCTTTAAAAAATAATTTGAACATTCTAGTATTTTACTATGTATATTTAATTGATCTGTCATCCTCTTACAGAAGAATTGAACGTATCAATGATTATCATTACACATAGTATAAATAAGTCAACCCTAAGTATGTCTTTACATTTTTATCCAAATGCTGAATTTGTGACACAAAAGCTGAATGTTTACAGCTGTTAATGTTAAGCAAATTATTTTATGCCAAAAGCTAGATTAGAATCTTAGCGTCGGCTGCTAGACTTTTTAAAAATGAAAACTTAATTTCTAAAAAACTGGGACCCTAAACTAAAATTATGGCTTCGACATTCCCTAGCTCTCAAAATTATCTTTCTTTCAACACAAAAATCATGTAAATCCGTCGAGTGGTTGATCCAGAATCGTGAAATAAAAAAACACTGTTTCATTTTAATATTATAGATAATTCTTGCAGTGGTTATGCCACAATGCATATCAGCTGATAGGCAATGAAAGAAAGAAAACAGGTAGGCCTATACCAACATATTAGCTTGTTTTGTCATTAAAATATGTTTCACAGTACCTTTAAGCTTGGGTTGCATTAAAAAAAACTCTGTATAAGTTGTATAGCCTATATGGTAATGCTTGGGTAGTATATAATTTGTGAAAATTGTTATTGCCCTGTCGCTATTGCTCACATTTTGACATAGTTTGCACTGTTTGCAGACGTTGTGCCGCCACCTCAAAACAGTACAGAGATGGAGGTAGACATGAGCATAGAGATACCAGCCAACAAGGCTACGGTTCTACGAGGTCACGAGTCCGAGGTTTTCATCTGTGCTTGGAATCCCACCACAGATCTGCTAGCCTCTGGGTAAGACACATTTCAATGTTAGGCGCTTAGGTGCAAAGTATTTAGAAACTTGTGAATTGAAACCTTTGGAAACATTGGTTTGCAACCTTGTAACACGCAAATCTCCAAAACCTTCTTGCAAGAATAGACCAGGTTCTAAATTTTCTGAAACACACTGGTTCAAAATATCGTTGCAAGACAAGTAGATTCAAACCCTTGAAAATACGAAGGGTTGAAATCTTGCAGGAGATATAGGTTTGAAATCCATTTGTGGCATGTAGTTTTCATAATCGTGCAAAACTATTTCGTGTTAAATCTTGTAAGCTGTACTCCTCTCTTACCCATGAAGAGCTTTTTACACTTAAGCTTTTGCAAGGTAATACTTGATTGCTCTAACCATACAAATTCACATCTCGTTTAAAGTTGAATAATAAAAATAATATGTAGGTAGATTTTTTATAATTTTTACTAATTGTCCCCTTACACACATTATTGTTTTGAATCCAAAAAGCTGATAATAGGGAAAATAATGTAATGATTTTACGGAAATCCTTTTCTTCTCGGCATGTCATTTGCAAAATATGCCAAATATAAAATATAGTCAATACAGTTCCCACTATTTAGATTCTGTTCAGAAGTTCAAACCTTTGAGTAGTGAGTAAATTAATGTTTGTTGTGGAACAGGTCTGGCGACAGCACTGCTAGGATATGGGACATGAGCGACACTACCACCAGCCCTAACCAGCTGGTGCTGAGACATTGCATACAGAAGGGCGGCACAGAAGTTCCCAGCAACAAGGACGTCACCTCCCTCGACTGGAATGTAAGTGCTTCACCTTACTTGTTACCAACTACGACGGTTTCTGCCGTAATGTCCACGTAATGTTTTGGAGGCAATGATACTCTTATCACCATTGACAAATGGATACTAAAATAGTAGGGGTCTGCAGGTCCCCGTATATTTGTGTCGAGTTGAGCCAACAGTTGGCTCAAGAGATCGGTTGGGGCCAGAAAATATTCTCAGGCCAAGCTCAGGATGCGTTGGGCGTAGAAGATTTTTTTATAATTTGCTGTCACTACAGAATTATGAGAAATGCCGCGGACAAGCCTTTTTATACGGCTTTTGCAGCTTTGTATTGAAAATGTTTTATAAATATATATATTATTTTATGTTATGTACCAAGTTTAATAATAGTAATAATTGTAATAATAATAATGATAATCCATAAATTTTGATATCTACACATTTATAGTTATGGGTTATATATAGAGGTGTGCGGATAGTGAAATTTCATTTCGGATCGGATTCGGATCGGATAGTTGAGGCTCGGTTCGGATCGGATATTGGGAGGTTCGGATTCGGATATTTTCGGATTCGGTTCGGCGCGGTTAATAATAAGCTGCATATGTATTTTTAACCTATAAAACAATGTAAAGCTGTGTAAATAAACTTAAATGACGATTTTGAACTACAGAATTTTTAGCGAAGTCCACAGTTTTCTCTCTCTTGAAAATCACAATTCACAACATTTATTTTCAAAAGTTGGTTGCTTGAATTAAGTACACTAGCAGCTGAAATCTTCACACAACACCTTAGCTCAGCAGGACTGATGTCAAACGTTTGTGCTTGTTTACTTGAGGTTATGTTTTATCTTGTTTCCTGGTTCTCACAAGCCAAGGAGTTCGATCTCAAGTTTATTTTCACATTGTATTTCCTTACGTTTTTGGAACAGATTATTGGCCTTAAGTGGCATTTTGCGGGTTTGCCAAGTTTAGAAAACATCACTAATGCACTAAGATGGGCTCTAGCTCACGATTTGATGTTGGGCAATTAGACTTTATAACTGTGTAAAAGGTGCGTATCCCTGAATTTATAAATTGCATTCTACACTTATTCACTGCCAAACATAATTCAGTAGAACCTTGATGAACCGAGAATTACACTAGCCTACATAACTTCATTACCCCAAGTAAAATACCAAGATAATTTTTATAATTGTATTTGAATCGTATAATCTTAGTTTGTTAAAAAATGGATTGTATGTTCAACAATAATTGCAGTCCAAGTTAAGCAGTATGGTCCCAAATTATTGTTTTTGATTTTGAAACATCACAGTTCATTTGACAAAATTATAGTTGAAGCAGCCCAATGTCAAGTCATGCTTGTGCAATAGTTTGTTTACAAGCTTTCTCCAGACCACGGGGAGGGGAGGGTAGGGTCTGATAAGCCGTCTATTGTTCACCCCCAAGAAGGTCCGACCCTCATTAGTGCCGCTCGGCTGCACTCAGTGGGGAACCCAATACCACAAATCAATCTTTTAAATTAATACAAATATTTGGAAATAATTGTTTTATTAATATTCACCTTGAAATTTCAATAAATTTGGTGTAAAATTTGACAAAAATCGGCCATTTGGACCAATTATTAATACAGTACCAAATACCAATAAAGTAGTACATTCATTGGTAAATAATAGGTAAAAATTTACCGATTTTCGTCAAGTTTTACCCCCTGCTGTGCGTTATGTCACAAAAGCTGATAACGACATGGGTGATTAGTAACAATGGCAACTTGTTGAATGCGTGATGAAGGGAAACCCAAGAAATAGAAGAACAAAGAGAAAGAATAACGACGTTGTTATCTTTATACCCTTTTTACAATTTCCGTTATTGTTATCTTTATGTAAGATTTTATGATTTTGTTTTATAGGTTTATAAAATAATTCTTTTTAACCACGGGAATATCAATTTATAATTTATCAACGTGCTTCTCTTCTGAAACAGCAATACCGGATGCATAATAAAGGTCAATGACCTAAAATATCACGATTGTGCAATATTGTATTTTGATGTTGAAATTAAAATCACGACAAAAGTTTGTATATACCGTATCCATGGTCCCTATCGTTTAATCACACAATCAATGCTAACTAATCGTGGTTAGTTCTAACTTTATTTTTTATTATTCAAAGTTTCTACACAGTAAGACAATCCAAAGTCAAACCGGGCAATGAATGCCTAAAAAACAACGTATCTTGTCCTGTGATTGGAATACCACTCGCCGGCCAGTCCTTTAGGTTTAGGGAAGTAGTGCAAGTCTATATATAGCTTCAAGGTCTTACCCACCCCTTCCCCCTCCGGTCCTACTTGACTCACTACCCGCGCTCCTTTCGAGGTCATTGCCCAACCCCTCCCACCCTCCTATTGTGTTGCCTTCCTATTGTTTCTATTTTGACTTTTTTTCGGGAAACATTAAATCTATTGTTTACGTACCCATCACAGTAGTAGGCTTGATTTTTCTACTTTGAAACAGTACTGTAAAAAAAAACTATTACGCAGCGCCCCTAGTATCAGGAGCGAGACAAGCACGAGTTGACTTTAATTTGACCATGGTAGTTCTTTTCTGCTTTATGTCTGTTCGTTCCAGGAATCTAATCGTAAAGCAAAACAGCCGATAACGACTAAACTAGTTATCGGTATTGCATCATACAGCTTCTTTGCCGTTTGCTGTTAGGTCGTTGGAAACATATTGCTGTAATTTTGTCCTGGGAAACTAATGGTGGTTATGGAGATTTAGTTTTCTGTCAAAAACGTCAAAATATATTGTCTATCCGAAAAAGTCGGATATATAACGGATAGTGTTGGATATAGATTTTTGGCTCGGTTCGGATACGAATATCCGAACCGAACCGAATCCGACCCGATTTTTCGGATATCCGCACACCTCTAGTTATATAGTTGATGTACTTACTTACTTACTTACTTACTGCCGTGGCTCTTGGTACCCAAGGTGGTACTTTGCCTCGCCAACACACTGCCTCCAGATTTTTCTATCCATTGCCTCCTCTTCCCTTCTTCCCAGTCTTCTTAGGTCTTTTCTAACCTGGTCTCGCCATCTCAACTTGGGCCTTCCTGGTGGTCTTCTGCCCTCCGGATTGTTCAAAAGGACGTTCTTGACTAAGGAGTCGTCCTCTTTCCTTAGTAAATGGCCAGCCCATCTCATTCTCCTACCTCTCACCTCGGCCACTATGTCTGGGTCCATATATAATTGCCTCAACTCTGCATTGTGTTTTATCCTCCACTCTCCATCTTCAAAGGTTGGACCATATATTTTTCTCAATATTTTGTTCTCAAATACTATCAAACGTTTTTCTGTTTTTTTACTTAACACCCAATTTTCTGAGCCGTATAACAGAACTGTTCTTATAATGGTTTTATATATACGGAGTTTTGTTTTGTGTGATAGTATTCGAGAGCTTAATAGTTTGTGGGATGCTGATAAACTTCTGTGTGCTGCATTTATTCTTTGTTGTATTTCCATATCTTCTTCATTATTATTCGTCAGCATTACTCCCAAATAAGTGAAGTTGTTTACTTTTTCAAAGTTGTACCCTTCTATTTCTATATTGTTGTCATTGTTTATTTGGGTTGCTCTCCCACACTCCATTATTTTTGTTTTCCCTTCATTTATTCTTAAACCAACTTTCTTTGTATGGTTTAGGAGTTTTGTGACCAGCACTTTCAACTCTTCTTTACTCTCCGCTATAATTGCAACATCATCTGCAAATGCAAGGACGTTTATTTTATTTATATAGTTGATGTAGGGGTGATAAATTTTAAAAACAGTTCATAGCCCTTGGACTCAGTTTATTCAATCAACAATGTCGTCTATAACAGAAAATTTCATGGCCCAAATACAAGTAAATATTGTAAAATTCTGGGTGTCAGCAAGTAATAAATGGTTTCTCTGTTGCCAGTGTGACGGCACTCTACTGGCTACAGGCTCTTACGACGGATACGCCAGGATATGGATGACGGACGGACGACTCGTCAGCACCTTGGGACAACACAAGGGTCCGATCTTTGCCCTCAAATGGAACAAGAGGGGCAACTACATACTCAGTGCTGGTGTAGATAAGGTAGGTCCATGGATAGAACTTTTAAACATTTTCATTCTGGCAGTTGTACTTGTAGATAAAATTATCTTCCTACTCTAATTGAATGGTCAGTTGTCTAGAGGATTTGATCAAATTGTTATTAGTGGTCAGGGGTCAAAGAATCCTAGGGCTCCAAAACTTCCCCAGTTTTTTATCATATTTTTCTGTCATTAATTTAAAAAAATCAAATATTTCTAAAACACATACTGTGAGCTGATAAAATTACTTCTAAAATTTTGTATGTATTGTACGACAGTCCAACAAAAGATTGTATGAAATTAGTAAATAGTTGGTCTATTATTTTCTCACTAGGAGTTTGTTAGTCTCTCGGCACAAGCTCAAGTTCAACAAAATGAGGGAATTGGATGAAGGTGGGAAAAACACTTTTAGTCTGTGTGATGTACAGCATTTTTTGTCATATTTCGCCATTCTTCAAGCTAATTAATTCCTAAAACAAATTTAGAACAAGTTCTAGTTTTATAACTGAAATTCTTTTACATTTTAATTTTGCTAAATGTTGTCAGCAGTTGTATATTTTGCAGTGAAACAAGCAATATAACACCACTAGGGGAAACCCGTCGAAATCGACGGTTACTTTCAAGGCAAATACGTTAATTCATCTAACTGCGATAAATTGGGTGAAATATACATATTTTGAGCATTTAGCATTGTTTAAAGAGTAATAAATGTAAAAAGAATAATGATATTAATTACGTTAGTTGCCAAATTTTGTTGATCATTCAATGATTAAAATACTTCCTATACTGTATGCCATCAGAGTTATTATTAGTATGTTATATGCTATCTCTTCCTTTGGCAGAACCTTTAAATCGTATTGGTGGATCTTTTGTAGTTCAAAACTTCCGTGATTTCATCAGTGTAATATGATTTTATTTGAAAAGAAAATATTTTTGGGAAGACATATTCTAACTTCAAAGGGAGGTATATCCCTTGCAGTGTAAGTTTGATTTTTCCTTCGTCACGTTGCGTCAGTTCATATCGTACTTCTGTGCCAATGAATGAACCCTCTAGCATAGTTTTGAGAAATTTATTATGGGGTTACTGTTAAAGCTGGAATTCCTTGACATGGGGGATGTCAGTTAGTTGTCTCAGCCTTATCAATAACGTAAAGTTGTCAATATAATCTCTCTACAGAATGTTAGGTGTAGTGGAATACTTGAAGTGAAGTTGGCTTTTATTCTTGAACTGTTAGGGGCCTCCTAGTTCATATGGTCTTGGTGGCTTCATTGGCTACAAATAATGCAAATGACATAGCAATGGGACATTTCCAAAAAGCAAAAATACTGTAAATTGGCTGTTACGTATATATTGACATTTACATATTGTTAATCAACGTATCTTATAAAGGGTTATGTGATCTAGTTTAAAAGGAATATGACTTTTCTGTCATGACATCATGACAGTAGCTGCCTAAATAGTATTTTCTCTTTGTACAATATTTTACAGCCAAAATGTCGTGTTGTTTTCAATAATATTACCAACCCAGTGCGCCAAAGTCCGTATATAGGCAGGTGCAAATAATTTTTCAAGATGGGTACAATTTTAGGCAAGGTTTCTATGTTTGGATTTTATTAGACACGATAAGAGCAGATATTTCTACATAAATATTTGATATGTGTAGAATAATATGATAAAATGTAGGCAAAAATGGTGAAAAAGGTAGACACCTACCCGTACAATAGATATAAGATAGTTCAATAAGAAATCATTTAATCAAAATTCAGTCGGACCAAATCAGTATTATGATAGCGCTATCTAAATGTCAATTGTGTATTCGTACCGTATTAATGTCTTCTGTGTTCGTGTTCGTGTTTTAAATGTGTTTTTGACGAGTTGCAAGCTTTGATAATGTTGTCTTCGCAACGAAACATGTAAGCTGTTGAGCAATACAATTTTTGGACTATTTGACTGAGGTATGTAAAAAACCTATTATTGTCTTAAATCATTTAAGAATTGCTGTGATAAAAGCATTTTCCACTGATTTCGTAATGGAACGTTATATTGCAAAACATGACATGATAAAGATGAAAATCAATTTTTCACCACTCTATGATGTTTTTAGCTGTTTTAGATGCGTTAATTGGTGGCTGAAAGTTACGATTTGGTGGCCATGCCAGCTGTCATCGTCATTTGGGGACCGAGCAGTTTTTTACATGCCTAGGGCCGCAAAATAAGCTGCCCGCTTACTTTTTTATAACATGAATGCATTAAATACACAAACAGTATCCATAGCATTGCAATAGAATTGTATTATTGTCATCGTTGCCTAGCATCTTTTATAATTTTTTTCGCTGATTCCTAAAATTATTTCTTCACATAACCTTAAAGTTGTAGTTGTGTTGACTATCAGTGTGCATTATTATTGTGTAGTAATAGGGTATATTGTGGTGAAAAATAGAATAGAATAGAATAGAATAGAAAAATTCTTTATTGCTCAATGTACATTATATACAGTTATTGTAAACAATCACAATATTATTGAACACAATTCTGGTTATACTATTTATACAAATATGCCTATGAACTTACACAACATTTTTTAAACCTTAACTGTTTAAAACATGGGATATAATAATAAAGAGAATCATAGAGCAATAAAGCCCTGAGGTTATAAACCTGTGCGGGATCTATATTTGAATCTTACACAAACTCAGTAGTAGGGTAGAGAGTGCCTGGCCGGATCAGTACCACAGTTATACTACACAATATTTAAAAATAACATAAACGTGGCTTCTTCACATGAAAAATATTAAATTCCTTAATTCTTACGTCTTGTATTAGGCATTGTTTAACAAACTATAACTAAGACTATAACTATCAAAGGAAAACACTATGTCTTTATATTAGAGTAGTAAAAAATTGATTAATGTCATTATGGTTAAGTAAGTAGTTACGTATAATTTTATTGAATTGGTTCTTGTTTTTACACTCTTTAATATAGTTTGGAAGTAGATTATAAAACGTTGGTGCTAAGTACAAAAAATATTTTTTGAAGTGGGATAAATTGGGTCGCGGAACATACATTTAACCCACGTTCCTTAATGTGATATAGTCCTGGTTCATTCTGTGTGTATCACATCTATTAAAAAAATTCTTAAAACCTTAAAAACGTATAAGTTTCTAAAGGGCAAAATGTTTAAACTTTGGAAAAGAGGTAGAGAAGGTTTGGTTTTTGTTTCGTTTAGTATTATTCTGACGAAGGCTTTTTGTAGTGTGATTATTGGTTTTAATGTGGTAAAATATGTCCCACCCCAGATTTCTATGCCATATTCAATTTTTGAATTTATGAATGCGAAATAAATTGATCTAAGAAGCTGTATATAACATACGCTTCTGAGCATGTAGAATATACGGATGTATTTTACTAATTTTAGTTTTAAGTATGAAATATGTTCTTTCCAATTAAGTTGGCTGTCCACGTAAAAGCCTAAATACTTTATGCTTCCTACTTGCTCAAGGTCTTGACAGTTACAAATGTTAAAACTTGTAGGGCATGTTACGTTGTGATATTTCAGGGATTTTGCAAAGTGTGTATGTTTTGTTAGGTTGAATATGATATATTTGGTTTTTGGGCTCATGACCATTAAATTTGATGTAAACCACCACCTCAGAGCATTCACGTCATGTTGCATTTTAGTATTTAACTCACATAATGAGTTTGCTTCGTATGACAGAGCTGTATCGTCAGCGAAAGCTACTAAATTACCTTTAAATTTGCCGTTACAAAGGTCATTGATAAAAATCAGAAACAAGGGACCGGACAAAACTGAGCCCTGTGGTATGCCAAGTTTTACCCGACCTTCCTCACTAACACAATTATTTGCCCTTGTGGTTTGGCTTCGTCCTGACAGGTAGGAACGGAACCATTTTAGAGCAACTCCCCTTATTCCAGCATGATACATCCTTTCCAACAGAATTCCATGGTCTACCATATCGAATGCCTTCATCAGGTCTACGAAAATACCTCCACAGACTTTACCATTATTAACATTTGTGTAAATATCCGACATATACTCAATAAGAGCAGAACAAGTGTTTAATTTGCTTTGGAATCCAAATTGCTTTTTGCTAAAGAATTGATGCTTAGTTAAAAAATTTACCAACCTAACTTTTACTATTTTTTCGAGTATTTTTGAGAAAATTGGTAAGAGGGCTATTGGTCGATAATTACTTGGATTATATCTATCATTCTTTTTATATAACGGTGTAACGACTGCTTTTTTCAATTTAACTGGAAATTCCCCAGCTGCTAAGCTTAAATTAAAAATGTAGGCTAAAACATGAACAATGGAATTAGCTATAGTTTTTATTATATTAGGAGTTAAATTGTCATAACCTGGTGCTTTGTTATCATTTAATGAATTTATAATTTTCATTATTTCCTCCTCGCACGTTGGGTAAAGAAAAATTGAATCTTTAGTTGAGGTCCTTTCAAAGGTATTCCTGTAAGGGTCAAATACACTATTGATGTTTGCCTTATCGAACAAGATTTCGTTCCTCAAGTCATCAGCCACTGAGCAAAAAAAGTTATTTAAGGTATTCGTAACCTCATCGGGGTTGTCAATCAATTGCCCGATTTCATTTTTTAGTACAATTGGGGTACTACCTTTATGCTTTGCACCTGTTAACTCTTTTATCAAATTCCATTGGTTTTTACTATTTTTCATGTTATTTTCTAACTGGTCTGAAAAGTACTTATTTTTCGCATATCTTATTTGGTTTATAACTAAATTCTTAAAATGTTTGTATCTCTGTTCTAATGTTGGGTCATTTGGTTTTTTCAAGAAATCTCTATAAAGTTTGTTTTTAATTTTAATATTATGTTTTATAGTTGCATTCATCCAAGGGTGTTTAAAGTTTGATTTTATGTTTATAATTTTATAGGACTCATTAATGCAATGTTGTAGTTTATGTGAAAAATAATCAAAGGAAGTCGAAGCTGAATTTTTGCCAGGCCAAAAAAATATTTATTCTCCAAAAAAGAGCTGTAAGATTAATGGCCATTAATGGATATTTTTAAATAGCGTTCGTACCATGGACCGAAATGGTTTTGCAGCTCTCGATTGTTTTGAGTTCGAGACGAAGTCTCGAACTTAAAATATCTCGAGCCGGCAAAATCTCATTTTCTGCCCTAGGTAGGAAATATACTATTAAAATCAGAAAATAACATTGCAAATACTTATTTGGTAGAATTCAGTAACTCACAATAAATATGCGTTGTTTGAAATACAATTTAAAAATGAACAGCTGTTTCATTAAAAATAGGGATTGACGGGATTGAATTTTTAGTTCGGGACGGGACGGGACGGGATTTTTATTTCCTTCCCGATTTTCGGGACGGGACGGGATTTTTTTCTGTGCATAAAAAGAAAGCCTTGAGTATTGCAGTTACCAAAAAAGGCATACGAAATCAATCTTTACCGTTTGTGGCACTGATCTATAAAAACCAAAAAATGGGTAACAATTTTTCAGGTACCTATAGAAACTTGTGACTCGCGGTCGAAAGGACTCGCGGTCACGGGGTGATCGTCGGTATGACTCGCGGTCACGGCATGATCGTCGGTATGACTCACGGTCACGGCGCGATCGTCGGTATAACTCCGCGGTCACGGGGTGATCGTCGGTATTGACTCCGCGGTCACGGGGTGATCGTCGGTATGACTCCGCGGTCACGGCGTGATTGTCGGTATGACTCCGCGGTCACGGCGTGATCGTCGGTATGACTCCGCGGTCACGGCGTGATCGTCGGTATGACTCCGTGGTCACGGCGTGATCGTCGGTATGACTCGGCGGTCACGGCGTGATCGTCGGTATGACTCCGCGGTCACGGCGTGATCGTCGGTATGGCTCCACGGTCACGGCGCGATCGTCGGTATGACTCCGTGGTCACGGCGTGATCGTCGGTATGACTCCGCGGTCACGGCGTGATCGTCGGTATGGCTCCACGGTCACGGCGTGATTGTCGGTATGACTGCGCGGTCACGGCGTGATCGTCGGTACGACTCCGCGGTCACGGCGTGATCGTCGGCATGACTCCGTGGTCACGCCGTGATCGTCGGTATGACTCCGCGGTCACGGCGTGATCGTCGGTATGACTCCGTGGTCACGGCGTGATCGTCGGTATGACTCCGTGGTCACGGCGTGATCGTCGGTATGACTCCGAGGTCACGGCGCGCTCGCCGGTATGTCTCCGCGGTCACGGCGTGATCGTCGGTATGACTCCGTGGTCACGGCACGATCGTCGTTATGACTCCGTGGTCATGGCGCAATTGTCGAAACGACTTCGTCTCCTGCGTTCGCGGACCTATCGCTCGCAATAGCGGCGTCATTGGCACTCGCGAAGCGGCAAAATCGACGGCGATCGGACCAAATCCCGTCCCGAAAAATTCCCGAATCAAATGTAATCCCGTCCCGATAATCGGAAATATTTTTTCCCCGAAAAATTCCCGAAATTTCGGGACCCGTCCATCCCTAATTAAAAAGTATTATTCACATGGCCAAAATGTAAACAACTCTGTGGAGGGATCTTTAAAGGCTTCTGGGGCAGAGTCCTAAAGGGATTTTGCTTAGTTTTTCTTTTGATAACTCATCTACAGACCAAGACCTTTCTTTGGACACATCTACCAAGTTTCTACGCCCTCAAATTATTGGGGACAAAGTTTCCAATTAAATATTTAGATTCCCCCATGTTAATCTTACGGGAGAAACTCGCAACTTTGATGGCCTGTGGGGCAAAGCCCGAGGGTTTTTATTACCGGAATTGGTGAAAGGGGGCGTCTACACAAAAAATACTTTATTTTGACACGTCGTTTGTAAAAATCCGTCCGGAGGAGTAGTGTTTTGTAGAAATCGCCTTCACGTATTATATATAAGGATACCTGAGGAGAAACTTACCAGGATTTAAACTCTAAATCTTCAGTGCTGGCCATGGCCTGGGATACAATGGCTTAGACCTATAAGGATGATTAATATAAAAATATTTATAACCATATGATAGTACATTAATTAAACCTATTATCTTCAACTGATTTCTTATCACTCTAGGGAAAAGTTGATACTTTGGATTCGCAAGATGTGTTTTGAAAACAGCTGTTTTTATTTGACAAAAAAGTAAAACTTGATTGTATTTTTCTGATGCAGCTGAACTTAAGTAAGTGCCTAAATTTTCCCATACTCTTGGTGATTTGCTCTAGACATTGTTCACACATATTCTGCACACCTACCAATAGCTTTAGTTTAAATTATAATTAAGTATTATCAGACTTCCTTAAATTACAGGAATTACTTTGCATCCACTCCTAACTTTCCAGTTGTGCTAGTTTATTTAGGCCTAGATTTACTGTTGACCATAATTTATTTACTGACTTGATACTGAGTTGATTTACTGGTCTCCATAATTTATGGTGCTCATCGTCTTTAAAAATGTGAAAAAAAATATGACACCTAAGTTTTTATAAGAGAGCTCTCAAAATTTAATATTTTCTTAGTTAACCTCAACAAACTCTATAATGCAAAGAATCGTATCTTTAAAATATAGCTTATTTAAAACCTATATTGAATGGTAAAGATCTCAAGACGTTTACCGATCAAGTAATGTAACTTTTCCCGCAGACAACCATTATCTGGGATGCAGCTAGTGGTCAGTGTACGCAGCAGTTCTCGTTCCACTCTGCGCCAGCGCTGGATGTCGACTGGCAGACCAACACCAGCTTTGCCTCTTGCAGCACGGATCAGTGCATCCACGTGTGTAAACTCAATGTGGACAAACCCATCAAGTCTTTCCAAGGCCACACGGTAGGTCTGACACTGGGGTTGTGGTTGATTTATTATTTGATTTATGTCGTCTTGTAAGACCAATTTATTTATTTTTTAGATCACCAAAAGTTTTGGGAAATTTTTAGAGATTTCTGTAAATATTTTATTTATAGGCTAATTTGTTTTGGTGCCTCAACGGAATTTATTCAATGCTGCCTTAAGTAGGTAGTACTTTTTTTACAGAGGTTGGTTGCCTCTTACATTGCATTTGCCCTTCCACAAGAGCCACAGAGGCTTGTGCATGGAACGTGTCCAGCAAGGGGTGAACTATTACAGTACACGGGTGAAATTTACTGATAACTAAGTAGTGGCAGGTACCAAAATCAAATCCCCACGACATCACTGCCTTGGCCCCGAAGTCTGTGGTTCTACCGACTCACCTATTTAGTATTTACTTAAATATTGCATAGCCTATATGTAGGTTACTTAAAAAAAAAGATATTATCTTCTAATGGTTTACCGCACTTAGGAGATTTTTGTTTCGGACACTAAATTTGTTTACCCAACTGCTCCAATACAAATCTCTAACAACTTTTTACTTCTAAAATTAATTTTGGCTATTAAATTACACAATAACATTGATAACGTAAAATGTTGACAGAACGAGGTAAACGCCATCAAGTGGGATCCGCAAGGTAACCTGCTGGCGTCGTGTTCGGACGATATGACCCTCAAGATTTGGTCAATGAAGCAGGACACTTGTGTTCATGACCTGCAGGCTCACAGCAAGGAGATCTACACTATCAAGTGGAGCCCGACCGGACCCGGCACTGCCAACCCCAACATGAGTCTTATACTGGCCAGGTACCATATACAAACAGCTGCTAGTTAAACATTTTGATTTATCATATGGATCTCAACACCAACTGAACACCAGACCAAAATCGGCAGCTAGGAAAGCCCTCGTTAAGTCTTTAAATAACTTTTATAGTTTGGTGGTGATGGTAGTTTGAACCTCAAAGTTCATTAAAGTTGAATACCAAAGTCTTTTAATTCTCTTCATCACTGGTGTTTGAAGAGGTCTCACAACACATTCACACAATGATACAGACACAAAAACTTGCAACTGATTGCAGTCATGTGTTTCTGACTGGTGTCAAGTCATATGACACCATCAATCATATCTTGTCTTAACATCCGGTTAAGGAAAATTAGGTGTTTTTGTTTTTGACCTCTAAATAGTTACCTTGCAGTATTTGTTGATGAAGTATTTATTACTAAGGTCTAAAAGGGGGAATTTAACAATGACAAGTACCTGACTGATGTTTGTTTTAGTGCTTCGTTTGACTCGACAGTTCGACTGTGGGATGTAGAGAGAGGTGCTTGCATTCACACTCTCACTAAACACACAGAGCCAGTATACAGTGTGGCGTTCTCACCCGATGGAAAGTTTCTCGCTTCTGGCAGCTTTGATAAATGTGTCCACATTTGGTCTACACAGGTAAACCAATATTTCTTACATCTGGCTTTAAGACTTTTTACACTTACGTTTCTCTTGTCATTAAGCATTTTTTGTATAAAAATAAAACTGGCCCAAAAAAGATCTGTTTGGCCCATGTTCTATCCAAAGAAATCGCATCAGACGACTAGTTGCATCGGGCAACAAGACAGTTGTCATGGACCTTTCAAGGGACAAAATCCACTGATTTGCAGTCAAACCGTTCTGCGTGGAAAAGCTTCTAAAGAAACCAGACATAGGAACACCATAGACACAAAAAACCTTATAAAGGAGAAGCATACTTAAACTTCCTTCTCGAACACCAGGTGAAAAAAACAAAAAAACATTTTAACCTGATTAGAGAAAAGACTTACAGTAAGAGGGACTCTTGTACACAGAAATAGAGATTACCCGAACATGACTCGTAGGTTCTATTTGTTTAATGTTGAAATAACGTGTAAATATTTTACGACTCCATCAACAAGTTAATTTCAACAAGTGGATTTCAGAATCGGTGAGTGAAGAGTCGTGGTTGTGGGACAGAGAAGTGGGGGAAGGGGTCGTTGGAGTTAGTTTAGTTAAGGTACACAGCATAGTAATAGGGGTAACATAGTCTGGACAAGAAAGTACTAGGTGACAATAGTAACAGTACAGGATGTTTTTTTAACGTGCAACCCAAATTAAAAGTGCTGTAAGACACATTTTAATGGCCAAACAACCTTATATTTTGGCATCCCTGTGTTCTTCACTTCATTGCCTGTCAGTTGATATGCATTGTTGCATAGTTTTATCTATGAGGTGTAGTGTTATTGGGAATTTATTTTTAATAAGACACAACATTGTATTTCCCCAATCTCCAGGAGCTTAGTGTGCAGGTTTGCTGCGTGGGAGTAATTTTGTTTAGGATGGATTTGGCTTCCTAAAAAATTTTCTATTATTAGCATGTACAAATATAAGGAAACCGAGTCTGTAGTAAACAAAAACTACCCCCGTCGCAGCAAACCTGAAGACTGAGCGAATTTCCATTTGCTTGATTTGATTTTAACTTGAATTCGGATTTGGTTTCCTTAAATTGGTATGTACTAATAATAGTTGATTCATTAGGAATCACATTTGGAAACTTAATTTCAAACCTTTCATGACATAAAACCAATGATCTTCTTTTTCATGGTATTATTCTAACTCTGAGATTGGGAAAATGCCATGTTGTGTCTTTTACAATAAATTCCCAGCAACACTAAACCTCATAGATAACTATGCACCATGCATATTAGCTGATCGGCAATGAAGTAATGAGCACAGGTATACCAAAATATAAGATTGTTTTGCGATTAAAATATGTCTTACAGTACGTTTAGTTTGGGTTGCACGTTTGGGTTACGTCAATGTAAAAGAACCTCTCCAGCAGCCCCCTCCACACTCTTATCCTGAGAAAGTGTGACTGTGCTTATAATCCTAGAGACTAATTTTATCAGGCTAGTTTAACACTACCCCTTTCAACTCTTTAATCGACCACATAGCTTTCTCTTGTAATATAACCTCTAAAGAGTAAGGCTTCACTTATCGTAGCAATGATGACATTGTTTTCCAACAGAGTGGCCAGCTGGTGCATAGCTACAAAGGTACGGGAGGCATCTTTGAAGTGTGTTGGAATTCAAGAGGTGACAAAGTTGGTGCTAGTGCGTCAGACGGCAGCGTAAGTGTAATTTTTCATGTGTTTTGTTACTTTTAAAATTTTATGTTTACATGTGTGTCTGTTGCTCAAATCCAAGCATGATTGACTGTGCTGCATTAGGGTAAATTTTTATCAAAATTGTACATTCTAATGGACCAGTTGAAGACATTTTTCAGTCTTATTTAAAGACATTTTACATTCGTATGGGTAATTTGAAAATAATGTTGAAATGTTTCTGTACAGTATTTATAGAGGATGTTTTGCTGTTCAATATTTATTTGTTGTTATTAAAATGACTTTAAATAATTTCAACGATTTAAAAAAAATCTTTGAAGACGTTGATGGTGTTTCCACCATTACCGCTCAATTCAATATTGTGCTGCCATCGCGGAAGACAGTAATGAGATATTTCAGATTAAAATTTGAACTGGCTAATTAGAACTTTTCATTGCTGCTAAAATTTAGTTTAACTTAAAAAAACCATTACCCCAAAATTACTTTATGTAAGGACTTATTGTGGTTATCTTGACATGAAAAGTATTTTTGTTTTCTAGCTTAGTTTTTTAGTTAATGATGAAATATGACAAAAAATATAGTTCATTACAAGGACAAATGTGTCTTTTCAATCCTTGCTCATTTTCCGACCTCGGGTTCGCCTCTATCGTAGAACTTTAGCTCAGGTCGTAAAGAGACATTTTACATCCTAGTGATGAAATATACAGTACTATATTATGGAATTTTAAATTACTAGTGCTTTTTTAACCCTAAAATTTAATAGTAGTCCCTGATTGGCAACTATTTTTTTAATTTGTCTTGAAAATGTCAAGTTGTGTCAAGGTGTGACACAACCAGTCAAGTTGTGCTACTCAAAATAGGTTGTTTATCAAAGAGCTTTTCTTTTACAATTCAATTCTTTTGCAGGTGTTTGTTTTGGACCTGAGAAAGTTGTAATGACTAACCGGAGATTCACCATTGGTGCAGTTGCATGATCTCTGATTCTCACTTAGTGAGTAAAACTGATGACGTATCAAAACGTCATGCAAATAGTTGTACGCCTTTTAAAGAGTGTCAAAAATTTTTAGTTTAAGCTCAACCATCTTTACTGTTATCTTCAACCTCAATTCAAATCTGAGAGCATTATTATTATGAGATAAAACGTTTATGGATTTGACAATCCAGGAATACAGGTGGACCTTTAGAGATGCAAAAGTTTTTGAGCTGAGCTCAGTTTTGATTTTGGAATAATCAGTAGTAATGGGTAGCTTATTTAAACTTTTGTTTCTAGCTCAATAATGATCTTGAGCTTTTTACATTCTTCATTAATGATAAAGCAGTAGAAGTATAATCGTCCAGGCTAATGAAACAGCCATTCTTAGTCAGCTAAAAGCTACTGAAGGTATATCACTTGATTGTAGAATTGTCCTCCACCTAGGCTTGTCTTAATTGGCAATCAAAGTTTGAGTCCTGGCTCAAAGAATTGAATCGATAGTTAAACATTACGTAATTAATCCAATTAAATTTGTCAACAAAAGATAATCGAATGTAGTTCTACAAATATGGTATAGTGCAATAATATGCATTACAGATTAGTTAAAAGCATGTCTTGAAAAGAAGAAGTTTTGTGCATTAATTTCATCCATAATTTTTAGGATTTCCACAATTTGGATTTTGAAGTTCCACTATATATTCTCATAAAAATAATCCTCAAAATGTTTTATCGTATGCAATATGGTTGATGATTTTTGTGATCAATCTTAATAATAAATTTTGATTAAGAGAAAGAGGTTCTGAAAATTCAAGGATATTAACAAAACACTACAATTTTATTGCGTATGGGTCAATAAAACATGCAAATTGTGCTAGCTTCCATTTGACTAATTTTTATAATCTGAAATTAAATAGGTTACATGTACAATGGTGTCAGTGTCATAGGTACATAATTAAATGAAAATGTCTATACATAATTTTGTTGTATTTCATGGGATATTTTCATTATTATATTAGAATATTAGACTTCCAGTCCTTGTTATACTCAGGGTTCTTATTTTCTCCTTTTACTGATAAGTAAACTGTAAAGTTAAAATCTCAAATGGCCATGTTCAAAACTAATTTGTTTTAATATTTGCAAGTTTTAAGTCTTGGTTAGTTATATTTTTTTGTCTTTTCACACCTTTTGATTTTGCAAAACTTGTTTCAAGACTTTTATCTAATGTTCATTTAAATAAAGTTTTTATAAATCTGCTAACTTGTGTGAAAATATCGTTAAAAACGATTAAACCTACTGTAATACTCAAATGTAAAAACTTATACCTCAGTTTTAAGATATGTGAATTTCTGGTATACATAATATATCATTATTTTTTTGTTTATTTAAATTTACAATATATAGACTATATTAAGTTAGTTGGATAATTTGTAAATAACGTAGAGTAGGCGAATCAATTACTATATTTTACTTTAGTCTAAGTCTAACTACTTGTTTAAGTTATACAGATACAAATATTTGTATAGATGATTTATTTAAGATAAGGTGTTGTCATTTCCATGTATTTGGTCTTAAAATATAATTTGAAGAGTTTTTGTAACAGACAATGTATATTTTTAAGTAGTTTACGGATTAATATTTATACAGTTGACTGTGTAATAGTATTTTTATATTACACTGAATTTTTTTAAATCCTTTTATTTGTTGACATTTCCTGCTTTATTTTCCATGGTAAAGAACAAATAGATGGAATGAGTAAAACTATCATCCTAATAACTAATCCAAACAACATATTTTTCTTTGCCTTTATTTCTATAAAATATCAAAACTGGATAGTTGCATTAGAAAACATGTCTGCCTCATTTTGTTTGACTATTGTATCCCTTAAGACTGTAAACAGAAATAAAATTTGAATTTATGTTTTTTCCAATAAATGTGAGTGTTTTTATCCACCTTTTTTACAGTTTTTGTTAATATTTCAAGGGAAAGAAAAAAAACAGAGTGCACCTAAAATGGTGTGCCTGGTTTTTTTAGCGAATTTCCCATATAGGGAATAAACTATTACCATAGTACTCATGGTATAAATTGGACCCGGGACCGATTTACTTTTTCGTTTTGAGGTCCCTAGAGGCCAAAAACACCATCCGTTCAAATTCATATATATATATATATGTGTGTGTGATGTGGAAAGCAAAAAGGGACCTCTTGTCGGGGTTGCGAAAGTTTCAGTACGGCCGATATAAGTACCTAATTAAGGTTGAAAATATCGAAATTCGGGTTTTTATCAATTGTTATACCTCATTTATCATAGAACAGGACAGTATCGGCTAAAATATCGAATTGAAGACATAAAAGGTCGAAATAAATCATTTTGTTAGCCTCTGAAAAATTTAGAGAACTACAACAAAGTTCAGTGTACGGAGAACAAAATATCTCACAAATTTTGCGGTCCCGATAAGAGGTACCTTTTATAATCTTATGGAGAAATAACCTATGTTATTTCCGACATAAGGTCCCTAAGGTTCCATAAGGGCCGACAAGAGGTCCCTTTTCTGAAATGTGATTTTTACGACATGCTTCTATAAAACAATTATTTAAATGAAAACTACCGAGAGTTAAGATAAAAATTGGTTTTGCCTCCAAAGAGGACATTATAAGCTTTCTTTTGATACCAAAATATCTTCTTAAAGAAGAAAAAAAAAAAAAACTGTTTTAATGCGTACTTGAAATTTTCAGAAGTGTTTTTCTCAAAATGACCCTTTTCAATAACACAATTTCAAAGTCCTATAACTTTAACTAAAAAAATCGCAGAGGCATGGGACTTGCACCAAGTGATTCAGAATTTAATAAGGAATTCAAATATGTATATAACTCAAAATCGAAAATTCCCGACAAGAGGTCCCTATTCGCTTTCCACATCACATATATATTTATATATATATGTGTCCGTTAGCGCGATAACTCGAGCAAAAATGATCCGATTTTGATGAAATTTGGTATAAACGTGTAAACCTACATTTATTCTAACGAGTTCGCGAACCAGCATGATCGAACTAAGGGGAACGGGGTTTTATGGGGTAAAAATAGGTTTTTCCCATTTTTAACCCCAAAAACACAAAACTTTATAATTTCTTTCCTAACCATTTTGTAGAGCTTAAAAAAAACAAATAATTTAGTATATTGAAGCGTTGTTGTGTGCCTAATGGTTACGGAGAAAATTTCAAAAAATTGTAAATTTAAAATGCCAATATTATCCTTATGGAGAATAAGTCAACTGTTGTAGTTTGCTTGTTTATAAACATATTTTGATCGAATTTGGGAAATACTTTCATTTCTTACTAAACTATTCACATTTTACAAAAATACAACACTTTTACCCTCTCTATTGCAGCAAACCTAAGTACTCGTTAAACTAATTCTATTTAAATAGGAAATAAATGTGATATTTTTATGTAGGCATTTTAGTGTAAATCCAATCAGGTTAATGGAAATTCGCTTAGTCTGCAGGTTTGCTGCGGCGGGGGTATTTTATAATCTTTGAGAATTTAGGAGCGCTGCTGCCTGTGTGGTGTTTTTAAAGATAACATTTTACTTGTATGCATAATCAGCTGGAAACGCTGTAGTGGCATCAGTTCAGCCTGGTTTACACGGGTCGAGTATGGCAGGTGAGTTTTTCGGCCCAATTGATTTTTTTGTTTAACTTGCCAAATACTTAACTAGACTGTTCACACGCATCCCTATTTCTGAAAGGTACAGTGTGGGCAAAGAGAAGTAATTTTTATTACTTTTCTAGGACATTCCGGTTACCGTAGCTGGCGTGTTAAATGTTGTTTGAGTTTAATGGCACGTCAAGAGTTTAATGCTGAATTTAGAACTTAAATCACTGAACTCAATTATTAGAATTAAAACTGAATCACTACTTAAATTCAGAGGCTGCTTAGCTTTTTTGCAAATAACTTTTAAATAGCGAGGAAATCGACCAAAGTGGAAGGTGATATCATGGGCTAACCATGTTTTATCTTCAAGAGTTGTTAGCCTCCGGATTACGTTTGAAAAATTATTCGAGCTACAACTTCCACCCGGTCGCGTCACCTGTCTCGTGTCTCCGAGTACTCGGTATTTTTTATGTTAAATGTCCGTCTATCAATGTGCGTTTTCGTGTGTGTTCTATGTACTTATTTATTAAATGACGACCTTCATATACGGAGATGAATAACGACGCCTTGTACGGCCTGAAGATGATTCCCTGTGAATTGAAACTATAGTTGCCACAAGCAACATTTTGGATTACTGAATGCAGGTATTTAAACCATTATAATCATGTTTTATCTATTGTGATATTCTAAAAGAGAATACAATTTGCTACAAATTACTCTAATGCATTTCTTGGAAATACTCAATAAAGGCAGCCAAAAGTTGCCTCAAAATTAAAAATGTGAAAACACAGTTTTCTACGTATTTCTTATGGAAAACATGTTTAGGGAGTGAGCTTTCTAACTAACCCATTAATTAATAAAATCGGTCCAGTAACACTGCAGATCTATTAGTTGTACAAAGATTTTATAAACTGATTTTTATAAGAATAGATTCACGCACAGCGAGACAATGCAACACAGAACACAGTGTCAACTGTTCAACTGAACCATTGAGTGTCGAGTGAGTAGGCCTGCTCTGAAGTCTGAACTAACCTCAATACTGACTCACCCAGCGACCACAGAATAAAAAATATAAATTTAATTCTGTGGTCGCTGGACTCACTTGGCAGTAGTAAACAGATGTTTCGCGGCAAAATTGAGGTGGTGGGGGTAGTTACTGGGCCGAGCAACTCGGTTTTCAACTAAAGCACTCGACTCACCTTCATGTCTACAACAAGCAAGTTAGAGAGCGAGTGGCAACTTGCACACTGACTCGCCCGCCGTACTCGACCTGTGTAAACCAGGCTTTACTTCTCATACTGCCCCTAGCCCACCAGCCAGCGACAGCAGCTCTCCTTGATTCTAGTGTTCTAGCTGATCAAGTTGAAATGAATAGATTTTTAACACTCTTACTCTCATTCTACTCTTGTGTTAACAATTGATCCTCATTATCTATATAAATAAAATTAGAGTTTTGTCTGTACATTGCTCAGAATTATATACTTTTAGGTTATTTTTACGTTTTATACATTAAAGAAGCAGAAACGAGTCTTATCTCAATTTCTGTCTGTCTGTCTGTCCCTTTGTCTGTAACACTCAAGATGGCATTTTACGCAATCTTCTCCGTGAAAACCAGAGTACATATCAAGATCCAAGTCATTTTAATGTATTCACTGGATTGGCGAGAGTGTCTTTAGTGATTTAAATATAGCCTCACTACTTTGTAAATAAAATTATGGACGTTCAAAAATGCAGTTTTGTGCGATTTTTGTCAAATTTTCGTTCAATTTTTATCACAGAATCGTCTATGAAATAACGAACAGCTGTTCGGATCAAGATTATTTTTTCTAGCTGTCAATGACCGGTACTTTTCCATAGAATACATGGCCTACCTACTTAAAAAATAAAATTACAAATGACCAAAACCCCAACATTGTGTGGTTTTCGTCACATTTCCTTCTAATGTTAATAGATATCACCCGGGATTAATACTAATCATTGTTTAGAGAATGCGTAATCTATTAAATAACAAAAAGTTGTTTGGGTAAGGTTGCTTTTTTTCAAACTGACACCGATAAGTTTACGCTATAACTTTTTACGAGAAAATCCAAAAGCAAGAGATCAATAACCTCGAAGCTAGATATTAATGTATTTAATTGGTCCGATTTACTGTAATTCTTAGGTAGGTTCTTACGTAGGTACTGGTTCTTTTCCTTAGAACCGGTAGTTTACAAATTAGATATCGTTGGTGTTGCACCTTATTTATTAGAGCCGTCCGTATTCAATTTAAGTGATGTCTTAACTCTGTATAAGTTTAGCTTTTTCTGCCTGGATTCCAAATCTTAGCTTACCCGGTATGCTAAGAAAATGATAACCTATTTGAGTAAAACATTTGTTGGGCAAACCGTCATGAATTGTTTACGCCTTTATATTGTTTATGTATCAATAGTTCGTGGCCTTTGTTGGATTGTTGTATTGTGTTGTTTTGTTGTATGTTGGTAACGCATTAATGTCCTTATTTCTCAGTGTTTCACGGAATGGACAAGAGCACCTTTGATACTGAAAATGTCAACCGGAATAAAGTGTTAAATGGTGAGGTTGAGGTAGTACTTTCAATACGTTTAAGTTAACCGATGTGGAAAGTAACTTTCAATTATAGGCCTACTTTAGGGCTACGCTTCATGGATCTATAAAACATTTTTAAGTTTAATCATTGGACATATGGACCAACACGATCCGGGCGACATTTAATTGCGAAGCATTTATTTTGGCTTGAACTGTCAGATAATGTATTTGCGAAGGTTTATATATAATAGTTTTGCCAGCATATCTGCAAATATGCAAACTAATTGCTGCTCTTAATCTTAATATAAGAAGGTTTCAACTGACTACTATAAGATCCCCGTGCGTAGAACGGGCACACAGCTAGTTTTAACATTAAATTCTTAATTTTAACATTAAATTCTTAAAGCTGAATAAATTGCTGGTTCAATCAATTATATAAAACAGTTTATTTCATCAATACATTAAGTTTATAGGCTACATGATCAAATAAATAGTAATCATAAAACATTTAATTTTCCATGCTGTATAAATAATCCGTAAAACAATAAATGTCAGTTAAAAAGCACAATTCAACAAAACTTGAAAATAAGCCTACTTATTTACAAAATAATAAAATGTAGACTATAATTACACAAATATAACCCCTTGATAAAGATGTATAATTACATTATGAAAAATGTACAGTTTTTATGACAAATGACTAGTTGCACAAAGACCTTAACTTGCACATTGGTGCTTTCTGTTTACTGAATAATTAAGAAGTTAGTTGTTTAAAAGAACGCTAACCCATTTTTGCACACGGGAATTTGAATCGAACCCCAACACCGTTTATTTAGAGTGGGCCCTTCTACCGGCCACACACCAGCAAGCTTAATATGTATTGCACATGAACGGGATTCAAACCCACACATTTAACTGCAGCTACACCTGCCAGTTCGACACGTTATTCAACTTAGCCAAAGTGAGCGCCAGTGATTCTAGCTTATTCAATTATAGATTCTAGTGCTGGTAAGTGGGATTCAACGAACAACGTAAGCGTTAGTGGGTTGTGGCTATCACACCGCGACGAGCTACACTCGTAAGTCGTAACACAGCCTCAATGGGTTAACTGATTTTCATGTGTTCTACTTTGCCTTAATATTAATATAGGGAATTAACATAAAAATGACTAGATAGATACATTTTATATGCAAAAATTAGGACATCAGTTTGTGTGTTAGGGTTAGGAAATCTAAACTAGAGCTAGCTTTCCATTAACAACAATGTTCAGCTATACATAAATGTAATAACAGTTTTAGAAATTGTAAGTGTCTGAGCAAGCTGTATAAATTTCATTGTACCCCACAGATAGTGCCGTTATAAAGTTTCAAGTATTATGATTTTTTATATGAAAACGTGCTTTTTGTCCTATGGTAACAAAATAAATTAATATAAAAGAGTTTCACTTGTGATAGAATAGAATAGAACCCCTCATATCTTTCGAACAGGACTAGAGGCAAAAGCTGGTGAATTTAAGTACTGTAGAACCCCTCAAATCCTATCATCTTCCACAACCACGGCAATACCTATAAGCATATCTTGTTGTCTTAGCGACAACGGTGGTCGTCTGCCGTGATTATGCAACATCCGTGATCGGCCACACTAGGTCGGATATCCCGAGGAGTCGGTTATGCCGAGGTCGGATATGAGGGGTTCTAATGTGGCGGTAAATGGGAGAGGAAAAGGATTAAAGAAATCCTCCATAAATATAAATAACTCACAGTAAAACAAATACAACATTTTCTCCCATCAGTTCTACGAAATGATTTGAGGACCTAAATGCAAACATGTTTGATGTTAACAAACACAGGAAGAAGGCGAGCAAAAGCAGTTTTAGGCTGTTGGGTATATAAGGTTAGATATGAAGTTCTACTGCAGTAATAAATTAAATTTAACCTCAAAACAGTTACCTTTGATGATGCTTAGACACAGGTGACCAAACTATGTACAATCATGAATGAACGTTAACAATATTCTAAAACTAGTTGACTTACTACTAAAATTGGAATGAACAACTCGTTAAATAAAGTCTTAACATACTGGAGCTTAGTTACGTTAACGCTGAATACAGCTACATTTTGTGTAAATTGATAACGCTTCTTGTTGAATATACTATATAATATGTCACGACAGCGGTAACTACTCGTGTAATTAGAGGAAAATAAACAATAATTTTCACCGATCAAATTGCAACATAAAAAATACAACACACAAAAGTAATTGAATCTTTTCGGTAAATTCATCACCACTATTTCCCTTTTATCAAACACTATTCTGTAGAGGAAAAAAGTTCACATACTTTATTAAACGGATTTCTTTAACTACCAGAATTCTCTATCGATCTTATCCCTTAGCAATAACTGGTGGCAAATATCAGTAGGGAGTCTATACACTTTGTTGAACAACAAACTAGCAATTATAACTTTTCTGATCCTAGCAAATGATATATTCAACAAGATGCTAGGACACATTGCTCTGTTTATGCATACAAAATGAACACAAAACTAAAACTTTATGTAATTCTTACAGTATTTTTCTAACAGAATTTTTATGTTTCAAACAAGTCTGTAAGTGCTGGGATTTAGCATCTCGTTTCACCTAACCTACGCCATATAACTTATCTAACTAGAAAATCATTTTTAATAGTAGTTTTGAATTTACAGAAAAGTAACAACATATCTGATTAAATGCTACAATGGAATGAAATTGCGTCGCTGTACATCAGTTGCTATCATGTAGCTACAAAAGTCATTACTTCAAGCTTTATTTGGCAACCAGAGAGGTATATGACCATCAGTAACAACAGCAGTAACCGCACAAAATCAAACAGTCTGTAATGGGAATTTCTACCTCGTCATCCTAACAGTTTGGCTTTGTGGAGATCTGTTTTGATTGTGTCGGTGTTTTTTGGCCTTGAGCAGATTGTAGTTTGAAAACTGACAATGTTTCTCCCAGAGAAATGGAATGTAGAAAGCACGGAAAAATCTGTGTGATCTGAAACAATAACACATGTTTAAGAGATTGATATTTAGCAGCATACTACCTTTGACTATTGATAAAACTAGACGTTCCATCTCCAAGTTAAAGCTGTCGCCAGCTTTTAAATCAAAATGGTCGTAGTTGGATTATGTAGTCTGTGATCCAACGACAGATTGTGCTGGTGTAAAATACTGTTTTCTGTCAAATACACAACATAACCAAGTTTTAAACTGATGGAACTACTTATTGTGAGCTATAGCAACTGTTATGACCCAACAACTATGTCAGTAACAAAATATAAAGAGGAAAATGTAATTTTCAGACACTAGCACATTCTGTGACTGACTCACTTAACTACGATATTGTTTAGTAAAGTTTGGTGTTTAGTAAGTGTGTTATTGTTCATATAGATGGGATGTCTACTTCAGTATCCATTAGTCAATGACTTAAACTGACCAAATCTGTTCCTACAGCAAGAGCCATTAAGTACACAAAACTAAATTTGTTTCTGTGATGTGTATTTATAGCCACAACAAACTATGAGGGTTAAAAATCCTGAAATTCTAAACACCCTGTAAGATATTAAATTATTTTCTGCAGTTCCATGAGTAAAAAGAAAAGTGTCAAATGATTAACTCCAATATTGTCTTGTGGAGCTGTAAAAGGTACCTGGCAGGGTTCAGGAATGGTACAGTCTTGACAATGGTCCATTTATCAGTTTGAGTCGAGTAGTTGGGTTCTCCCTCCGATTCCTCTCCAGTGTCGAGATCCACGATAAAGTGGCAGGTGGAAGGATCAACCTGTAAATAATATTAATTCGTTGAGTTTACAAAGCCGATAAATGAGACGATAGTCACATAACCAAAGCTCTACTTGCGACTCTGTGAGTATATCCCTCCAAGTGTCTCTAGTTTTGGTCTTAATGTTCGCCCATTTATTGCGCAATCGCAGGGTTTTATTAAAATGTATCTTAGAAACTTAAAAACAATGTAAAGTATACTGTTTTATATATCATTTTGTTTGGAAAATTATGGGCTTCAATGTAACATATAAAACATAAAAAAAATGTTCAACAATTTTTGTGGGGTTAAAATTTCTCAAAAATTATAAAATAAATGAAAAAAATGTATGTTTGCGCTCAATAAATTGTTATAATTTATAGGTCTACAAATATTTTAATTTAAAATAGCCCACTTTGTTCAGAATTTTATGAGGATTCCAAAAATATAATAATATAAGGAAGTAAGTTTGCAAATAAATAATTTATGGGCAAAAAACAGATTTCGGTACATAGCATTTAGCTAAGAATGCATAGCCTAACCATAGCAAGGAATCTGGCTGATAATTTACATCAATATCACTACCAACTTCTTCAGGATCATCAACCAGCCCTTCAAAATCACTTAAATCTTCTTATAATGCACCACGTATATCACTACTTTTGATTTTTAACACTAAAACAATGATAAACGTAATAAAACACATCAGTCATCGGTGCGAGGTTAACCAAGCTGTTTACAAACACGCACGTCAGCTGTCTGCTACAATATTTTCGGAACTAAAATGAAAAGCGTATAGAAACAGACATCAGGAGAAAGCTCTGAATCTGCTGAAAAAAACTATACCTAACTCGATCCAGTTCAATCCGATTCAGTCAGTCCCAGAGCCGTCGCCGTAAACAGTGTTTGTGAGTCGCAAAAGCGACACATAACACTACAGCGGATGTGTTATGAGTCGCTTTTACGACACATGATGTAGCGACTCGCTACAAGACAATAGGTAGCGCAAGTCACGTGACACGGGTGCGCGCGCAGTCGGTCCGGCAAGCACGCGCGATGAGAGTAGAGTCGTAGTAGTGTGCCCGCCAGTAGCAGTTCAACTAGTCCGGATAAGTAGTAGCATAAGACTATGTCTAGCTAATAGATATAGGGGTTGGGGAAGGGTGTAGGCAAGGGCAAACTTAATTTAATTATGTAATTTATTAGGTTCACTAATGGTCGTGGTCTGGAAATCAATATCACAAATTTAGAATTCACATTTGCTAAATCTAGTTACTTTTCACGAATTAGAATAAGTCCAGATATATATATTTTTTTCTCTGTTCACTATATACTATAATTAGATATATTAAATAACATAAAAGCTGGCTGTGATAGGCAGCTAAGGTAATATTGTGCACTTTGACGAGGTAGATAGTTTCCATGCAATAGAGTTGAGCAACGACAGGAAATGTGCGTGATTTGGTAGTGGTCAGAGGAAGGTATATAGGGCCCAGGTATCTTCATTTACACTCATACTACTCCCCATCATCTCAATAACACTCGGAGGGATATAGCTGAAAGCTGTAATAGTTTATGTGTGCCGCAACCTAGGATTCAAGTTGAAAAATACTATGCAAAAATAGTAGTTTATTACCTACAGTACTATCCTTTGGGCTCCCAACAGATTTTTGATTGCCTCTGTTGTTAGTGATGACTTTGATTTGTGATTGAGGCAGGGGCGGCTCCAGGGAATAATTTTTTGGGTAGGCCTGGCAAGGATCAAGAAAGAGTTTGATCAAGGGGACGAGAGGTTTGAAGGGCTTCCCCCTTCAAAAAAGGAGTAATTTTTCAATTTAAATTCAAAATAATTAGTTTAAATGCTTTAACTTTATTTACATATAATTACATTGCTTTATTTCTTTCTAATTTTGAATTATCTACCAAAATGTTGGGTAGGCCCGGGCCTACCTGGCCTGCCCCTGGATTGAGGTCTAAGCCATTGTCTCCCAGGCCATGGCCAGCACTGAAGATTTAGAGTTTAAATCCTGTCTCAGGCAACTCATGGGAGCCTAATGTCAAGGTCATACCTAAAATAAGCAATGGACATCTGGGGAGAAAATTGACAGGAGGGATAGATTTTTTGTAAGTTTCACCTCAGGTATTTTGCAAATTCTTTGCTGTAAGTGTCCATTGAAAACTTGTGTAGAAATTGTTTCGATTTATTTAAGTTCATGGTTTGTGACAGTGAGTTTATCTCTTAAATGACATGTTCATAAGGAGAGGGTTAAATAATTCAAATTCAAATTAAATAATTCAATAATCTATCAATAGAGAGACTAATCTCAAAGGCCTTAAAAATGTTTGGCATAGGCGGACGTTATGAGTAAAATAATAAAAATTTAACCATTGACTATTGAAAACCCAATGTAGGAGTCCCATCTTTATAGACCAGCTAACATCATTTTTTTTTATAAAATAAGAAAATTGTAGTCATTGAACGAGCTAGTGTCTCAAATTCTAATTTACACCTTATTTTTTGTTGCTGGCATAGTTGATGGGTCATTACAGTTATTATAGCTCACAAAGAGTCATTCCATCAGTTAAAATTGGTAAAAAGGTTTTAGTGTATTCGACAAATTTTAATAATTTAGATCAGCAAAATCTTTCAGTGGCTCACATCAACTTGTCAATTTTGATTAAAAAACTGGTGACAACTTTTACATGGAATTGGAATGTTGAGTTGTATCAATAGTCAAAAGTAACTCAAGAAATGGGGCCCAAAACTATGCATGACTGTACTACAACCTTAGAGTGTTAGTCAAGGTTACACATGGACTTTATCTACAGTTTCAGACAGACAGGCGAGGTTTTTGCAACTTTAAAATATGAAGTGTGGCTAAATTACCAAATTGAAATGTTGACAAAGTATATTGACAAAAGATGTTAGCGAGTAGTACTCACATATCTTGAAGGCTCCTCAAGATTAGCATCGTTCATGTTCGGAGGCACAACCATCGTTCCATTCTCCAACAGAGAGAACGGTTGTGGCAACTGACCCCGAAACTCACACTTTAAAAACTGCAGCTCCCATCTAGAGAAAAATAATGTTCAATAAGATATTATTTGTTAAGTCTTTGCAGTTTAAAAGTTTTGGTTTAGATTTTGAAATTTAATTCAATATTTTAATCCATAATTTTTTTACTTAAAAAGGTTGACTTTAGATAGTAACAAGACCATGGTTTGAACCGTTGCCTTACAAAAATGACACAGGCACATAAAATACAAAAACACAAAATTTAAAATCTTGAACCAAAGGGTTCGGTTTTTTGTGAGGGAAAACTAACATGATTTTAGTCAGTGAATAATTCCTGGGTCTCAACGGATTATGAATCATACATGCACAGAAAAGAGACAACAATAAGTGGTAATTACAACATAAAGGATTGTATTAACATTTTTCTTTGCAATATATTCACTTATTAAGTGAATAAAATAAAATATATAGGTACGCTAAATCATGAATAATATAGACTGCAACTGAACTTCGATAAACTCACTTGTCTGAAGGTAGGAAGAATGAAGATGGATACCGATACCATTCTTTGCCCATACAGATGTTAACGTGATGATCGGGGGAAATTCCTCCTTCCGCTGTCAGCTTGTTTAGTTCAATGAATACATCCATAGGCGCTGAATAACCTGGAAAACGGTAACAAAGCGTTAGGCTTTTTTAAAGCTTCTTTTCACAGCACAGGCATTTGGTTATTGGAGAAGATATATCACTATTGAGGATAAAGCAGAAACAGAAAAGTTTGTGTTGATCCAGGAATATCAACCGTACTCTTGCAGTCGAGTTACTTCGCTTATTAGCTCCTAATGCATCAAACGAGAGAGGATAGAGCTTTCTCTTGAAATTTTCATTTTGTTTTTTTAAGAACCAATTGCTGTAACTTATTGGTTGAAATATGTAGTTAAAAACGTTTTTATTTGTTGAAAAAGTGGACTGTAATTTTTAACACTGAATATAAGTTTAATGAAAGAGAACTGTAAATTAATGTAGACTGTCTGTAAATAAAAAATAAAGGTTCTGCTGAAAAAGTCAACTTCTAAAAAATTCAATACAGTTGTTTTTAGTTCACTTTATTTATACGGAATTTAAACTGAATTTAATAAGTTAATTTTGCTGTTTTCACTATTTTTTACTTCAACTTTTCTGCAATAAATATTTATGTAGTAAACATGTAAAATTTTTGATCTTCACATTTTTACTTGCCTACTTGATAGTTATGTACACCACACGTTTTTCAAGTTGTTTTAAAGAAGATAATTGTTAAAGAAATTATTTCAGGGAAAATTGTGATTGGTTTAAAACTTTTAAATATGTTATAAAACTACATTCATGTACCAGAAGAAATATAAAAAATTTGTAAAGAAAAGTATTTAAAAAAGGATACCAATGTCAACATTGATTATTAAAATATTCTTTTGGTTAGACATTTTATGTAACAACATATATTTTATAGTGAAATTGGATTGAAATCGCAATAAAAACATAAAACATTGGTTGTTGAGTGAAATTAATACAAAATTATTCTTGGCTGGTTACCTTTGTACAAGGCGAGTATCCGAGACACTCCAAGCGTGGAGGTGAGAAGAAGCGCAGGGAGCAGCAGATACATGGTGTGGTTGAGGTAGTGGATACCCGACCTGACGACCAGTCGGAACCACAGCTTCTGTACACTATCCAGCGTCACTCCTCCACATAGACAGATGAGAGGGTACACGGGGAACAGGAACCTCTCCTCCTGCAGAACAATAACTCATGGTAAAAATAGTATTGATCCTTCAAGCGATGCTAGAGTTATTGAGTTGTTCATTTACACTGTGATTAGTCAGAAAATCAGCAAGGCTGCTTTAAAAAGATTTATTTTGAATAACAGTTTTTAGAGTTGAGGGTAGTTTATTAAAAAGCTTTTTCCCCATATATTTAGGAGTTTTTTCTATAAGCTTCTAAGGTTGTCTTGGTTTGTTGGTTGTCTAACGTTGGTTTTTTTTTTATCTGGTGTTACAAATGTGGTCAAAGTTTTCGTTAATGTAGTCATCAAAATTTGACTTACTATAAAAGAGGTGACAAAAATAGCCATGCATATTTGGGTAAACCTACTCCAAATAAATACAAACAAAAACTTGATGTTGCTCACCAAACAAATAACTATTGTTAGGTTTGAAGAGTTCCTGCTGTAACGGTATGTGCACGGGGAATTCATACTGATCTTAAATGGAGGGAGCAGGCTAGAGGTGTGGGACTTCGAACCCTGAGGTCAGGGGTTCAAATCCCGCCCTTCACCAAGGCTGTAGTCATGTAATTGTCCAGTGTCCTCTTAGACTAACTTGAAGTAATGTGTAAAACAGTTCCGGCCTATATCCTAGCATTCTAGGATGTAAAGGAAGGACAAGAGGAGAGGCTGACCTTGTGAGGTTGCAGACAGAAGACTAACAGCCAGAGATAGAGAGGTGAGAGAGAGAGCCAGTACGGGAGAAACTGGGCGTGATGCAACTTGACAGGCACAACTAGCTTGACGGCTACCTACAGCAAACACGGAAATAAAACACTTGACAAGCACATAACAGACAGGGCTTTGTAGGTCATCATACCTGTGCTGGACTGAAAAATATCAATTTTTTTTAGTTGTAATACCTTAAAAAAGTTGCTAAATTGTAAGACTAAAATAGGGTAAAAATATTGGTCATTATCTTTTTGCCGTGCTCTAAAGTTTAAACAAAAAATGAAAAACTCAAATTTTTTCAAAAGTTTGTAAAGTTTTAAAATTTTTGATTTTTAATATGTTATAGTTGAAAATGCCATCTGCAAGGCACTAAGAAATTGATATTTAAATAATAGTATTTCATTTTAAGATATTCTGGTCGCGCATCAGCTGTAAATATTGCCACAAATAAAAATCTAGAAAAACGTCATTTTGTAATAGACTAATTTGAAAAATAATTATCGATATCAAAATAGAATACTGAAAATCTGCTTGCCCACGTTCAGACAGTAACTGAACAAAAACAACGGACAAAGTCAGAATTGATCTTTCGGTCGCGCATAACAATACAAATTCACTTGAGCGTGGCACTATCGCGTCAGTGACTGAAACGACGTCATGTGATTCCGAAGTTAAAGTTTATGAAATTGAACAACAGGATGGTGATGATAATGTACCCCTGTACTCACCAACTAAAATTGACGATTGTATTGACAGCAACCAAGAATGTTTACCTGAACTCCAAAAAAAAAAGTCTTCTGGTAGGTAAATGAGGATTATCTTAACTCTACTGCATTGGTTAGCGATCGTTATGGTGTTTCTGATGGTGCTACAACTGCAATAGCCTCTTGTGTTTTGCATGACGTTGGCATAGTTACTAGGCCAAAGAGGAAACAAATCAAAACATAAACTTCATTTGTTACAATTTTATAAGAATTCTTCTCACAGATTTTTATTCTGTTTTGGTCTTACAATTTGGCAACTTTTCCAAGGTAGGTATTACAACTCGATAAAAAAATTATAGATTTTAAGAGATTAAAGATTTTTTCAGCCCAACCTACTTGGCATTGCAAGATAATATGACCTTGAATTATTTATTTATCAATTTTGTCATTTGTATTATTTTCCTTATGGATTTTTAACATAGGTACAAAATAAAATATCCTTGAACGTTTTTAGAAATAGGAAAATAACTGGACTATTGAGGATTAATTACGGTGAAAGTGACGTATTTAATTTGTATTTGAAATGAGTGAATGTGCCAAGCCAGTCAGTGTTTTGTTCGTTTCCAATGTATAAATTCTACATATTTTTTCAAGAAACGAATTACTGTAATATTTAAGTACAAAAAAACCATGGTTTTTATTTCATTTACCCTATCCCAGAACTGTATTTTAAGTACTATATAGGCCTAATTATTATGTGTCTATTAGGCATTTCTAGGGTATGTTTGAAAATGCGAACAAATCAGTTATCTGAACTACCTACGGTCCCAATTCGGATGGTTCGGATTTTTGACACTCTACTGTATATTTGATTAACATTCATTTAAATATTTTTTGCAGTCAACTAAATTACCATAGTAAAATATAAATTATACCACTTTTAACATTTGGATACCGGTACTGAACTTTATCACAGTTTGACATAGTGACTTAGAAACAAACACACGCCTGGGTCAATGACAAGGTGGAAATAAGGCAGAAACCATCTTAGGCATACACATTGAACATTTTCATAAGTTTTGTAGCAAGGCAATCGCATGAACGGTTTGGTAAATGAGTTAAGGGACATTGGACTTATGTGTAATACTAATGAAATAAGTTTAGACATTGTTAACATCTAGGTTTTTGATCTGGCAGAGATGATCTGTTCATCTGTTATATCAAACAAATTACGGTGCAATACATTTTTAGAGCTTCAAACCATGGTTTATAAAACTTGTTTTTCACTTTAGTTGTTAAAAACACATACTGCATCTCATACAAAACTCAATCATACCTACCAAAGCAAGGGGAGTGAGAAGAGCAGCGATGAATATGATGTTGAAGTTGAGAAACCCGTTGATGATGTAAAAATACCAAGGTTCCACACCGTACAAGTCTGGACCATGGGTCGTGAAAACGTTGTAAAACACAATATTGAGAGGAGCCACAACCAGACGACCGTAGTAGAGTGAGTCAATGCGAGCCATCGGCAGTAAGATGGCGGCACAAGCAATCAGACTCCACTGAGCGAACAGCCACCAGTCCTTGCGACGGAACAGCATGTCGAATGCTATTGGCACACTGAAAAAAGTAGTAGAGTAATTAATTTGTTTACAAAGTCATCTAAAAAAAAATTCTCAAATTGTTTGAGCCCAGAAGACCGATACATCGGTCACCATCCTAATCCAACATTGACTTGCAGCTAGGGATGTTCAAATGCTTTTTGAAAAACAAAATCTGTTTCATGAGAATTTGGATTTGTGTTCATAAGATGAAAGGGAACTTGATTAAGGCTAAACATCCCAGGTTTAGTTCCAAATTCTGCCACCAAGTCGCAGCACCAAAATGGAGTCATTTTGTGTTGGTGTTTATTGGTGGAATTTTCATCCGATTTTCATTTTGAAAACTGATTTGTGAACGGAATAAGATGACAATTCACGCTATTGAAGATAAATTTGAATTAAGTTGCTGGTTAAAAAAAGCGTAGTAAAATAATTGTGTTTCAAAATAAAAAATGAAAATTGCAGGTAGTCATTTTAAAGAGAATAATTTTTAATTAATTTTACTTTTTAAATTTTTAAAATCGCTTGGCTGGTTCAGTCGGTATCGTTGTTTAAACATTTACAGTAATTATAACAAACGCGAGAGAGGCATGAAGCGGTGCAGGACAGGGCCGCTGTGACTCATTCCAAGGTCACACTCACATTTGCTACCCCTCCCCTCCCACAAGACGGCTGGGGTGTTGCTTGTACACCGGTGGATGACGGTTTCCCGCGCTTCCATACACGAACAAATACAGAATTGAATTAGGGGTTTTGCTACGCTTTAACCAAAACAAATTGCAAACAAAATAATTATTTAAAAGTTTTGATAGTGTCATCAAATTTTTAATTTTATGATAATCGCATTTAGGCCTAATCAAACTGTAAAATTGGTGTAAATCCGTTGGCAAATATATAAATCTACTAGCAGAGTACCCGTCCTTCGTACGGGGTTGGAATATAAGTACAAAATGCTTATTGCAGTTATACTCAAGCTTTGCGTTTGTAATAAGGGAGGACACAGTTTGATAAAATTTGCTTTTTTAAATTTACAGTATTCTATAGTATAACACATCTACCATAGCCATAATGTTCTACCACTTCACCTAAACAATAGAGAAAAATAAATTATCAACAATTCGCAAAATTCCACAAATTATTCATGAAATGAAAAACATAAACATAACTGAAAACAATCCTACTTTGACAGTTCTCATTGCGAATCACAGTTTTTTGTTGCTGCTTAGTTCAAATTAGCTGTTTTCATAAATGCAAAAAAATATAGTGCTGCACCCTGTTGGTAAATCTTATAACTTTTTAATGCTTTTCCATATCATAGAACCAACTTTTTTAGTTGAAACAGCTGACTAAATTCTTTAATTCCCTTTAAATATGAATACTCATAAGGTTAACGTGAGGAATTACAGAGCCACTGGGGCGGAGCCCAAAAGGATTTTTGAGATAAGAATATGCCTATATGTTAATCGGGAATGTAAGCTATCATCATGCCAAATTTCAGCCCAATCCGTCCAGTGGTTTATGCGTGATTGAACTTCAAACAAACAAACAAACACACAAACTTTCACATTTATAATATTAGTAGGATATAAATAAAATTACAGTTTTGTCTGTACATTGCTTAGAATCATGCAGGTTTTGGTTATTTTTACGTTTCAAAACATAAGAAAGCCGAAACGAATCTTAATTTCTGTCTGTTTGTTTGTCTATTCTATGCCAAAATGTCATTTTGCGCGGCCTACTCCTAGAAAACTAAAGTTCCGATCAAGGTTCTAATATTTTTTCCGTATTTACTGGATTGGTGAGAGTGTCTTTGGCTATAAAAACATGGTCTCGCTTCTTTGAAAACAAAATAACGAACCATCAAAACCCCAATTTGGTTCGAATTTTGTCAAACTTCCTCCCAATGTTTACTATTACTGTACATTTTATCAAATAACGATCAGCTGTTTGGATTAGTTCCCACTTCTAGCTGTCACTGATTTGTTTACATTAAAAGTTGTTTACAAATACCGCAACCATTTCCGATCAAGTTTTGTTAGCACATCCAAACCAAGTGAGATTAAAACCGTTGTGCCTTACTTAACCGGTTTAATTAATCGCAAGTGCAACGATTGTTCTTGAGTTTTGATAACCGGGGAAAATGCCGTGAACCAGAGTTGTATTACTGTAGTGCTGGGAAACTTGCCTACATTTTTTTAATCATCGTCACCAATAGCTTACAAAAAGGTTTTCACTTATTGACGACGTTTCAAGCACAGTTGTGTAAAAAGTGGAAAGTAAAAAATCACAAATGCAGTGGGTGATCGTGGATGTTGCTGAAATCTTGGAAGATCTATATAATTTCGCTGTGATAACTTATAGATGTAGCTAAACTCGCTTATCCAATGTGTTGTTCATTTTTGGTTTCTACTTACATTTCGAAAACGATATTGGTACTTTTCCTATCTAGGAAGTAAAACTAAAAACGTCCAAAACCCCAGATTTGTGCGTTTTTGTCACATTTCCTCCGAATGTTTGCTAGATATATGTACCGATTATCGTTTAGAGATTACGTAATCTTTTAAATAAGAAACCTTTGTTTGGATAAAGGTGGTTTCTTCAAACTGTCATTAATATGTTAACATTAAAAGTTGCTTACAAATAATGCTATTAATGGGAAATAACTTTGATTTTCGAAAACTTAAAAAGAAAATTAAAACCAAGGGAGATTAATAACTTCGGTACTGCACCCCATCAAGTGAAAGTTTTTTTTTTAGCAAACCATAGTGAGTTTTTAAAGCTTTACGTTGTTAACGTTACATGTTAGGTACATGTTTTGTGGCCTGTGTATTTATTTATTTATATATTTGCCAACGGGCTAACACCTATAAAACAGTTTGATTAGAAGGACAGTTCGAATTGGTCGTAAGTACTAGGCCTATAGTTATTTTCTTAAATGTAAACGTTGGTTTTTGGTATTGCTACTTTTCCTTAGAACCGGTGGTAGCAGTAAGAATCATTTTTACGTACAAGCACATCACTACAACTAGCCATTTGATGACACTATAAAAACTTTCAAATACAGTAGGCTAATTGTTTTGTTTGCAATGTTAAAGCGTAGGAAATCCCCTAATTCAATTCTGTATTTGTGTGTGTATGCTGTCTGTTGGTAACGCATTAATGTCCTTATTTCTCAGTGTTTCGTGGAAAAGACAAGATGTTTTAAGCATTAACATTAAGCACCTTTGTTAATGAAAATTTCAACCCGAATAAAGTGTGCAGTAGTGAGGTTGAGGTAGTATTTTAACTACTTTTAACCAGTGTGAAAAGTAACTTTCAATTACAGGCCTACCTCGGGACTATGCCTCATAGATCTATAAAGCAATTCCTTTTATCATTAGATATAAAATATGGACTAACACGATCGGGTGACATATAATTGTGAAGCATTCGTTTTGGCTTTGTAACTGTCAGATATTGTATTTGCGAAGGTTTATATATATTCCTATACAGTAATAGTTTTGCCAGCATATCAGGAAATATGCATATGCAAACCAACCCCTGTTCTGAATATAAGAAGGTTCCAACTTACTACAAGATTCCCGTACGTAGAACGGGCAAACAGCTAGTATATAGATATTTGCTAACAGATTTACACCAATTTTACAGTTTGATTAGGCCTAAAAACGATTATGATAAAATTTGATGACACTCAAAACTTTCAAATAACTTCTTTGTTTGTAATATGCTTTGGTTCAAGCGTAGCAAATCCCCTAATTCAATTCTGTATTTTTGTTTGTATGTCTGTTGGTAACGCAATGTCCTTATTTCTCATTGTTTCGTGGAAAAGTCAAGAGCACCTTTGTTAATGAAAATTTCAACCCGAATAAAGTGTGCAATAGTGAGGTTGAGGTGGTATTTTAACTACTTTTAACCTGTGTGAAAAGTAACTTTCAATTACAGGCCTTCTTTTAATGCAAAATGCACACTAAATATGCAAACCAACTCCTGTTCAGAATATAAGGTTTCAACTTACTACAAGATTCCCGTAGGCCCTACGTAGAACGGGCAAACAGCTAGTAAGTAAATAAATGCACATTCCACAAAACATTGATACGTTAACAACGTAAAGCATTAAAAATTCATGATGGTTTGCTAAAAAAATATTTCACTAATGTTTTATCATTTTCATAGCATAAGCTATTATTTTGGAGTCCAGAAAGAAAACGTAAAAATTGGAGTGCAAGAGTGTTTTGCGCCAACTCTCGCAATGTTGTTTTAGCGCTAACACAGCTCGCAATTTTAGTCATTGGAATGAGCATTCTCAGTTAAAGAAATAACATTATGATTACTGTAATATAATATTAATTGCTGACACAAGTATTAAATTTTATATATTACTGATAGGCTTTATTCATAGGCTTTCTTAGGCTATGAAACGTAAAAATAACCAAAAGCTCCATGATTCTACAGATAAAACTTTAATTTTATTTGAATAGATGTCTCTTTCCGACTTACAGAAAATACTTGTTTTTAAATCATAAACTAGTATCTGTTAAAATCAGGAGTCCAGTCTAGTAAGTGTGTCCGGTCAGAGTATGAATGCGAGGTGTGTGTGAGATGACGAAGCTTCAGTCGCGTTGCAGGGCCGGGCAGGGCGGCTGGGCAATGGAGCTGCGCTATGCGGGGGGAGGGGCGAGGGGACCGGTGCGCGAGAGAAATAATGATAATTTCTTTAAAAAACGATTCCGATACAACCATTTGGCCGAATTAATATCTGAAAACGGCAAAATTCTTTTAAAATTTCTCTTTACAAAATGACTACCTGCGATTAAAAAAAATAATTACAGCAAAAAAAATTCTTTATAAAACTTTTTTGTAAATAAATTTTAAAAAACATTAGCAAAATAGCGGGAATGTCTTATTTATATCATTTACAAAACCGTTTACAAAACAAAAATCTGATAATAAATACGGTAATTATAAGTGGTACAAATTTGCCGCAGAGGTGCTGCTATCTATCGGGCCAGAAACACAACTTTTTCAGGGATGTTTAGCCTTAAGCATAATAAATCAAAGACTGGTTGGGTAGCTGAGGGGTTATAGTACTCGCCTAACAATCAAAAGGTTGCCGAATCGATCCTGAGAAAAGTCAGTAGCTTTTTGATGTTTCAAACCTGGACCCAGCTCTCCCTCAACATTGGGCTTCAAATCAATGATCTTGGATAATGTAACAGCTGATCTTAGTACGTAACAAAGCTACACCGATCATCTCACTCCATTCTACACACATCCTTCACTTCTATGGGTTAAAATAGACACCTAGGTGAGGTGGTGTTCAAATCTTAATTGATAATGATACAACCAAGGGTCAAGAACTACTAGGCCTACACTTTGGCTTGGGGTCTAGCTATATTATTAGTGTAGGAGCCTGTTGGGTTTGATCTATGGTTGAGTCGTCCACAGCCTAGAGCATCCTAGATTTGTACCAAGTCTCTGTCAGGTCTGATGTGCAATTTATTGAGAAGTTAACTGTTCTGTAGCAGTGTTTGGTGGGAGAGGCCCGCCTAAAATAAACGGCTGGAGTGAAAGTAGCTACAGGATGAGTGGGGATTCTTTGAGAGTTTTACTGTTTTACCTCAAATCAGGCATTTTGCTACTAGCATACTACATACATCTTTCTTATCCCTACTGTGTGCGAGTTAATCAAAATCTATCTAAGAAAATTTGGATTTGTGTTTCTTATATGAGGGGAAACATGCAAGCACAAAATAATCACAGAATAATACCTAGACCAAGGGTTAACCCATTGGGGAAGGAATTAATGTGCTACCTGCAGCACCTACTGGCGGCAATTAATTTTACCGAATTTGTAGACTTTTACTCTAACTGCTATAGAAAGAAAACCGTAGGTAATAAATTAATAATTCTTTCACCATTTTGTTCACAGTAAAATTGTCTACAGAAAAGTGGTAATTGGATAGTCAAAGTTCTAAACTAAAAAATATATATATATATAAAGATTATAAAAATAAAAATTTTAAAAACAATATTTTGAAAGTAAACTTGATATATACAAATTCCAAGATTAATCCAGACACCAAATAACACTACTATTATAAAGTTCAATCAATTCCCTAAGTAGAAAAATCAAAAGTTGTGTGCTTTTATAAGTAATAACATTTTTAAAAAATTTTTTGTTTACCTTACCGCAGCTGATTTTTGGTGATATGTGGTTTCCATGGCAACACAAAATTGTTTATTATTTGCTAAAATAAATGAGTAAATACGCAAATCAAGAAGCAAGATATTTATAAACATTATAGTAGTAAGAAAAACAAAAAGGGCGAAAAATAATAATAACTAATGGCGCTGCCTAGCGGTGACACGAGCGGCACTCGTAAGTCGGCCGCCGGGCCTGCAGCGGCCGTACGAGTAACGCTCGTAAGTCGGCGCCAATGGGTTAAGACGAATGATTAGCTTAGCAGAATAAATATTAAGATCATGATCAAATAAATTCAATAAGAATTCAAAACCTTTCCACACACTAAACTTTTAAACTGATCGTCTCACTAACTACAGTAGCCTATAAACATTATTTATTTATTTATTTTAGTGGCATTACTTAGTGGTATTAACTAACCGTCTACTATCAACTCACCCAATCAGAGCCGCAAACGGCCAGCTGAGGAAGGCCGATAGGGCTGTAGCAAACACCGCAAGTTCATACTTCCGTTGGAACCAAGCCCCCATCGATAACATCGTCATGTACCTGTTCAATAAACAAACAAAAGATAAGTAATATTAAAACAAAGTCTACGATGAATTTAGTTTTGCTACCATGATGAGTACCGGTACTGTATTTCATAGTATTGCTGCTACAACCATAATAAATGCTGATTTGAAAAAGCAACTTACAACAAAACATACAAACTATCTGGACACAAAACAAAAGCTGGTTGAAATTTTGCAGCATTATATTTAGTGGTATTTGAGAAATAGTTTTTACACAGAAACTATCACTTTGAGACGCAATGCTGCGTGTTTCATATCTAACTGCAATTAGTGTGTAATAATTTACTTTTCACCATAATCTAAGTTATTTTAAATACACACTGAGTAATTTCTGTAAACTATATGAAACGATAAACAGATTATAGTTATTTGTGCAACTAGTGAGCAAAGGGAGCAATTGACTCACTCGAGAGAAATACTTACTCACGAGCCGTAGGCGAGTGAGGAATGGTTTTTCGAGTGAGGCAAATGCACTTTGCACTCGAGTTGCACATTATATTTTTCCTACAGTTACCATAAAACAAATAAATTGGTAAAAAAAGTGACATATTTTTACACAGAAGTGAATTTTTTTTATTACATTTAATGATACAACAGTACAACAGCTGACCAGCTGATTTACAGCCAGTGTTGCCAACGTATTTCGCACGCATACAACCTTGTCTGCATGTTACGCGCTCACTATTTCGTGCCTTCACGTTGCAAATCTGGAATGAGTGAGACAAAGTAATTAGAGTGAGACAATGTTTACATTGTCTCACTGATGAGCGAATTGGCCACTTTGCTTTCTCAAATCAGCGAGAGAACATGTACATTACTGACTATAACCAGCTGTTTCTTCAGCCAAAACCAATAAACAAATTAAAAATAAATAAAAATCAACAGGACAGCTCGGTATAATTTCAAACAATAAAAAAGATACCGACTTGCATCAGGATTGAGCCAGCAACCTGATGATTAGAAGAGGAAAACTTAATCCACTCAGCTATGAAAAATACCCATTACGCTTTATACATAAGCATTAGTATGGATTCACTACAGTTAAGAGTATTATTAAGACTACTTGGAAACTTACATTGAAAAGCTGGAAGGGAGAAACGCTGTGCTAGAGATAAACATTCCTGCGTTGAACAACATCGCAACCAGCATAACACGGGCCACATGGATGCCAAACTCTCTACAAATGCTCCTAAAAGTCATGGGGATTTTAGTTCAATGGTACATTTGCATTAAAATTTAGAGTCTGAATTTTAAATAGTCGAGTATTGCGGATATAATTAAATAAATTATAATAGGTGACTTTGATGTAGTAAATTGTAGAATAAAACGTTTCTTACTTTTGGTATTATAGCCTCCTGGTAACTGATAAAAATTGAAACTACTAAAATCAGCTTATGTTAATCCACAGATAGCTCTCATTAACTAGTAGTGGAGACATCATTACCTTTTCATTGACGTTTATTTTTATCATCTTCTGCTGATGACTCTCTAATTAAAATTTAAAAAATGTACTTATACAATATAAAGTGTTTTATACTACTCTCCATAGTTTTGAGATACCCTGCTTTTAAGTGGTAGTAAATTTAACTTAAACAATGGAAGTTTATATTACTTGTAGAAGTAAACTTCACAGAGGGCGCAGCAGAGACCAAGCAGGCAGCGGGAAAAGTAAAAGATGAGCATTTTGTTGGGCTGCAGTAACACATGGTACAGCCAGGCCGGCACGACGTGAACCATGAGGTAGGTGTAGGAGCGAAGAGCATACTCTGGGCTGTACTCCCAAGTCTGCATGCCCTTGCCAAAGAGTAAATAGTGGCTCTGAAACATGTTGTATACACATTAATTTAATTTAACTCGATTGTCACACCACAGTGCACGAAAATCGAAAATTAAGGAAAAGTGATGAAACACAAGATGAATTTAAGATTAATCAGACGTCTTCTTTGTTATGTTTTTGGCAAATTCTAGGAACTTCCAGGGAGTGCCTGTTAATCTGTTATCAGATTTGAAATCCAATATTTCATAACCTAAAGCTCAACTTGATGATTTACTGGGTGAAATTGGTTGGCTGGTAAAATAAATGCAGAAGAATGCAGTTGTGTCATAATATTACAAACTTTCTGACCAACTAGGAGGTTTCCCAGGTCCTAAAAAATACACATGGTTTTCATAAAATTTGGTACGGCAACGAGAACAATACACAGATAAGTCATGCCTATATCAGCCTCAGGGTTTAACGTTTACATGAAATATTTGTTTTCCACGTAATACCCTATTTGAAAAAATTCATCCAGTGTTTCGTTGATCTTCCCTCAAAATAATCCACTGACTGAGGTAAAAGAATCCAACTAGAAGTCTGTTTACTAAGAAAATGTATTTTATGTTTCAGTTTGAAAGTAGGCTAATTGTTTTTGGTAACAGCCCACAATGCAGAAGAGAGCATGGTTGAAGTTTTGATAAGTGGCCCATTCGTTTTGGTCTAACCTATTTGAAGTTTGCATGTCCAGGCCTAGCTGGCTTTTGGTAGGCAAGTTAAATTTGAGACTTTTGAGTGTCAAAGAAGTTTTTACAGAAGCAAATGTGTTATGTAGTAAGTTTTTAAAAAAACGCGCAGAGGATACGTTTCCGGTAACCGAACGTGGATTAGGCGTCCGGCAGTGATGTCACCGGGTTGTGGGGGCCTAGAACACCATTAACTTAACACGATACAATGTACGGCCATCGGTGTTTGTGGTGTAGTGGCTAGAGTACTCGGCTGATGTACAAGAGGTACCTATCTAGATCGAATCCCATCGGTGACACTAACTTTTGTCAAAGATTTTGCTTGGAATGCAATTTCTTCTTAACTATAGGCCTACGGTACATCTTTTGTTAGAATTTGAAGCTATAAGTTAAACATAATTTAACCTTCATTCGATTTTTTCAGTATCAGCAAGTTTGGTTTGTTAGGTTAGGTTATGACAGTAACTGCCAGACGCCTAATCCACGCCCGGTTACTGGATGCGTATCCTCTGCCTTTGAAAAAGTGATAATTTCTTACCGGTTCCCAGTAATTGTAGGTTTCATCGCAATCGGTTATATGGCTCCATACAGCTGCACAAAACCGAGCAGAAAGTAGCGCTTTGAATGCAGTATCATTACTTGGATAGAACAGGCCCACTTGGTCTATGAATTCTTGATTTGTTATTACTTCTTCTTTCCTAAACGTGACATAACCTCATATTAGAAATAGGCCCAGATTTCAGAGGGTTTCTACAACCACAAACAAATCAGAATCACATTAAATTAAGTAGATAACTGACCTTGTGTTTCCTGAAGTTTTACGAGGAAATGGTTTTTTATTGCCCTCTTTCCTGCCACTAGAAATAGAATGGTTTCTTTGCCGATTTGACGGCGCCATATCTTTTGAATTAATAAGGATTTTACAAATCCATATTCTGAAAACAGATCAGCTGCGAAAAAGTTCTACGTATCACAATACGATTCTCACAGAAAATTGTAAAAATGTCAAGTAAGCGGTAAATGAAGATATTCGAGTTTGTACCGAAAGAGTAAAGACTAAAGGACTAAAGGTTTGACTTGACGACGTTTGACTCAATGTTGTCAGTTTTCTGTTTGTGGTTTGTGTTGTGTTCGTTTTGTGCTTGTCTTTGCTGCTTACTCGGTTATAGAAGTCGTCTGCTTCATCTTTAAAGCCTCTTCGATCGATATCTTCTTTGACTATTTCAAACTCATACTATACATGTTACACAATATTTTCAACGGATGTTCTGCCTATAACAATACTGTCTATACAGGGTGAGTTTCTACTGACCGTGTTAACTTCGCCAGTGGGTTCTACCAAAGATTACATATCACTAAAAGAAACAAAAAAGTTTATGGGAAGGTATGTCCGAAAATCCATATTTACCCAGATATCCGCCATTTTGTTTTTTTATACAAAAATATTTTTATCTGTGAAGTTTTTTATTCGATGATTATGAAACTTGGTAAACATGTTACCATACACAAGATGGAGGTAGCACTGCCATGGCAGAAGTCTGTCAAAAGCGAGTCGCTGATTTTGTTAGGTTGGTATAGCAGTAAGTTTTCTTACCATAGCAATAACATGGCTTCTTATAACTAGGCTGTATAGCAGTGAGTTTTTTGTCATAGCAATAACATGGCTTCTTATGGACACACACCTCACGCAAACATGGCGGCTGGCGACACGCATCTTTGACATTCAGTGCTACCCCCAGTTAGAATTACAGCTCAGTGCACAAGACCTATAATAGAAAAAATAATAAAGTTGTTCCGATTGTAAATTTCAAAATGGCGGCCGTTTGATTTTTCTAACTTAAATAACTCGAAAACGGCTAATTCTATGAAAAAATGTTAAGAATACTTTTTTTTAGCATTTTTAATTTCCTATCAAACGATACCAAGATCAAAAAGATCGGACCAAAGATAACTGAAATATAACGGTTTTTGTGTAAAAATAAGGCAAAAATTAAGGGTTTGCCTTATTTTTACACAAAAACCGTGATCATTGTGATCTTGGTATCGTTTGATAGGAAATTAAAAATGCTAAAAAAAAGTATTCTTAACATTTTTTCATAGAATTAGCCGTTTTCGAGTTATTTAAGTTAGAAAAATTCAAACGGCCGCCATTTTGAAATTTACAATCGGAACAACTTTATTATTTTTTCTATTATAGGTCTTGTGTATGGACCAAGTTTCATAATCATCGAATAAAAAACTTTATAGATAAAAATAAATTTGTATACAAAACAAAATGGCGGATATCTGGGTAAATATGGATTTTCGGACATACCTTCCCATTAACTTTTTTGTTCCTTTTAGTGAGTAGAACCCACTGGCGAAGTTAACACGGTCAGTAGAAACTCACCCTGTATAACATATCATGACTTGACACTTGACAGAGAATGTTTTGAATGTCATCCATAAGTAAATACAGTATTATTAGGCATGTTAAAAGTAAAAATTATGAATAGGTTTCTATAAAAACTACAATCATGCACTAACGTAGTACTTGCACGACCACCTTTAAAACTGGCAAATAATGTCAAGTTCAAGTTTAAGCTTAAAGATTACAACGAGCATTTAATAAAAGACAGACATGAAAAACATGTTAAAATGAGGTTGGTCTCTCGAACACTTAATAGCACTTTAATTATCTTCTATCTATAATATTAAAACGAAACAGGGTTTTTTTATTTCACGATTCTGAATCAACCACTTGACGGATTTTCATGATTTTTGTGTTGAAAGAAAGGTAATTTTGAGAACTAGGGAATGTCGAAGCCATAATTTTAGTTTAGGGTCCCAGTTCTTTAGAAATTAAGTTTTAATTTTCAAAAAGTCTAGCAGCCGACGGACGAGTTAAAGTCGTTTAATTTAGTGGTGGTTTAACTAACAGCTGGTTTCTAACTGTCATTGAAATGTTACAAGTTGTTTGTGTACAAAAATATTGATCGTCAGACTTTGCCTACACACTATTTTACTTCAAAATGCAGTTTATCTTCTATCGTAAAAGATCTATGTTATCAGGAGATTGTGTAATTTTGAACTAAACATTTTAAACGTATAATCAAGTTTTGTCATAAATGCAATCCGTCTAAGTATAAGTGCTTAATCCTTTAAGATATAAGTGGTTTACGTGTTGATACATCTTTTTCTAGATGTTTGAATATAAGTATGGCTGCATACAGTACACATTTTATTCGTAATGAAAATGTCAACCGGTGTAGTAGGTCTCCAGAAAACTGACCAGTAAGCTGCAGGGTGTCAGTAGAAACCAAAATCGATTCATACCATATCATAACTATCCCAGTAGTACTGTATGATTCAGAAACTTGATAAAGGGGTAGGCCTACATTTTAAAAGTAGACCAAAAGGCTTGGATCTCGGATGGGTTGGGCAGGCTTTTTTATGGCGGAGAGAAGATACTTCAACTTTTAAAAGTGTATTCCAAGGAGTACTACAAGGTAGACGACCACTTGGAAGACCAAGTAATGAAAGACATCTTCAGACTGGTATCTTCCTGACATCCAGAAATGGCAGGGGATAGAAGATAGAAGAGAACGGGAGGCCAGGATCATTTTAGAGGTTTCAGTGGCCAAGGTGGTAAAATAAGGTACGGTAAGTGATGTAGGCCTATGCAGTGGAAGGTGGTATGTAGCTACTGTACTCAAAGCCAGTGTGTGTGAATCGGCCACCAAGTTGTAAACTAGCTGTTCTGAATCATATTCAGTTTTAATTGACTAATCGATTCCCGTACGTAGGACGGGCCAACAGCTCGTTTATATTAATATTATTTAAGGTAATTATTTAAAATGTGTACAACGCGATATCGTGTAGTTTTTTTCTGGTGTTACCATTTTACCTTTACTTCGTGATCTACGCTCACAGAACATTAGTACACTTTACTTTTGCCGTCAGCTGGCTGGTATAGATGTGGTGCAATTCTGTTTGTTTTTCTTGCTTTCTTTCAGTGTTCTATTCGTCTGCTTCTGCTAGTAGTAGTACTTGCTAGTGTTAGGTCTATTATAGGTTACTTTTCAAAGTCAAGAGTATTACGCCAAGTACCTCAATTAATTGTACTTATTATTTAAAGTACTTGAAATGGCAGGAAGAGCTGTTAAGTTTGGAAGTGCTTTGAAGGAGCTTAGGATTCATTTATGCCAAACTTCGGATGCCAGTAAAGGCGTGAGGTGAGAGAAAGGGTTCAGTTGTTTTGTTTCTTTTTTAGTCATAAGGCCAATTCGATGGGTTTTAAACAATTAATTATAATATAATTAAGTTTCTAATAAGCTATAAAACTTATACAATTCTAATTATTTCTGTTTGTTAAATCGCTGTTCTGTTCTGACTTGTAAGTCGTGGTAACCAAATAACTTAAACTGGTTGCATGTCCCCATTGGAGGATCCCATACTGAATTATGTTTTAGAAAAAGGCAAAATAAGCAATGTCTTGTAGTCTCCTTAACAAAAAATTAGGTACTCTGCTGAGCCTCTTAAGAAACCATTTCAGTCCAATCTAACTTTGGGCTCAAGTGGAAACCCAGTAATATGGCCACATCTTGGTCCTCATTCTTCTTTAAAGTAAAAATCAAACGTCGTGTCTTCGCTTCTTTCTGTGCCAACCCATTAGCCTGAAACCAGACCTTAGCCTCACTGTACACCAACTGTATCCGCTCCCTCGCTAAGCCAAAATCTGCTCCCCTGGACATGATGTTTGTGGCGTCAGCGTAGATGTTCGTCCTACCCGAGATGCAGCTATCAAGGTCATGGATATGTAGCCAATCATCTATATGGTCTAAGTTTCTCAATAATCATTGATTAAGATAGTCTTTCAAGTCAGAATAATTAGTGTTTGCCAGGCTAAAATGTAGCATTTAAAGTTAGTACTCATTTTATGACTCTTTTAGGTACCTAACCAATATGACATTATAGTTTGATAGCTAACTTAATCATCTTTTTACTCAAAACTTGTTTGTTTCAGGGATTTTGTCGAAAAGTTTTATGTACCACTGAAACAGATGAATCCCAAATTCCCTATTCTGATCAGGGAATGTAGTGGTGTCCAGCCTAGAGCTTGGGCTCGATACGGTAAGATTGGAATTATCGCCTAGGCCTATAGTATATTATAGTGTGGGGGAGCAAGCTAGTCTAGTGGTTAGAGTGCGGGACTTCGGTCCAAGAGGACCCGGGTTAAAATCCCACAAAATCACCAATGGATTTTATCTACTAAGTGATAATGCCGCAACCCCTAGGTCTAGTCTGAAGTAATGTGAAAAACAATCCCAGGCTCGTGCCTAGCGTCCTAGGACTAAAAGGTCTATTATAGGCTAGTTATGACACTACGTAGACATACTCTGATCAATTTTAAGTATTTCCAGTGGCATTATGTTGAAATAAAATTATCTCTGATACCAAAGCTTTCAACAATACTTTTAGATGATGATACAGTTATTTCATCTTTAATTAATTGTCTGTTAGGGTTGTTAGTAACTTTAACAGGTCAATGAAATGAAATAATTGGGACACAACTGTGGATTTTTGTATTGAAAGGTTACACTTAAACAAAGAAAAACAAGTGCTTTCTCAAGAGTATATAATAGTTTTCAATAGTTAGTATTGGTATTCAATACACCAAGCTCTTTTAAATAAATATATAACTAAAACCTTTTTTTAGGTCACGGAAAAGAAACAAGTGTCTCGTTAACTAATCTACAAGCGGAAAATGTGTTGAAGGAAATTGAGAAGCTGGCATCCAAGAACTAATTGTGGGTTTTCTATTAGTTATTTTGTAAATATGATGATAGATTGTACGTTAATCATAAAAATAAATATTAGTCGGTACTCCTGTGGTTTTTAAACATTTCCCCTATCCTAGCCCCTTGAGCAGACATGTTTGGGATTGAATTGGCAACATTTTTGTGTCAAAACATTATTTACTTGTATAGCCTAAGGATGGTTTGTGTTGAGAGAGTTTAAGACTAATGTACAAATGATGTGTTTGTTACCCACAAATTACCCAAAATTTTGTAGCTTGTTTAAGCAATGAATTTTATTTCAAACTAGTAATCCAGCAGTTGCTCTACCATCCCGGAAGGACTTACTTTAAGTGATACTTCTACAATAGTATATTTCACTATGGTCTGAAATGAAAAACCAAGGTGATGATGAGCCAAATGTATGTGGGAACAATACTTTTCATCATAACCTTTCTTCAAGATAATTTTTGTTTTAAACAAAAATGATTGCACTGTTCAGAAGAACAAACTGCAAAACTGGAAGAAGAAGAGCAAAACTGGAATTTACTTGGGAGATAAAGAATTATCTCCCAAGTAAATTCCAGTTTTGCTAGACCTAACTTATTATAATCAAACATACTAAAGCCATTAAACTTTGGATGAAGTAAGCTAGACATCTCATCTATATGGTCCAGAAGTAGGTTTTCGAAGGAGCATATTCTTGAGCCACAAAGGCTACTCTTGGGATTATATTTTATCCCCAATTTTTCTCTACTTTGGAGATTTATGTGACATAAATATGATACTTAAAGTGTTTCTTTCAGTTTGACTTGGTTAGAAAGTTGGTGTAATAGACAGAAATCAATTGACAACACCGCTAGATAGTAACAAGATTAGGGTTTGGACCAGTCTTTAACAAAAAATTCAAAAATCATAATGCTATTTCAACTAGTTCATTAACAAAAAATTAAATAAAAACAGTATAAAATTTAACTTGGGAATGGAGTGGAATGTATAGTTTTATCAGTAGTCAAAGCTATGGCCAAACACTAATAAAACCGGCTGAACTTAACTGTCTAGAGATGTTAAGACCGCAGCCTTTAGATCCATGCTGTACCGAGCTTAAAAGATGCCACTTAACCAAGCCAATAGGAAGAAAGAACTGGACACCATTAAGAAGATTGCACAAGTTAATGGATTTCAAACCAAGACAATAGAGGACATCACAAGAAAGACGAGGAGAAAAATCAATAGCCAGAATAAACTACACAGCAGAACAACATTAGAAGAGATGAAAGAGGAAAATAAGAAAAAGGACATAAAAAAAGGATATGTAATGAATGCTTGGGAAGAATTGCATATTTATAAGGAAAAATAGAAATAAGCTATAATCAGCTTATAAGACGTTTCTTTGATTTACTTTCCGTAAATTTAATAACACGCACAATGCTGATCAAGAAATTATCAATTATAACCTAACCTAACCTCACGTTGGTTAGGTTAGGACGATTTTGTCTTTTTAACTGATTAAAATCTTATTTGGAAGTCGATTTATCGGTGTGGTCGGTACCAAGCCTGCATTGAGAACAGTCGTTTTGGTACAGTATTTGACAAGAACGATAATTATGCATGAATGTGTGGACATCCTTAAATTATATAAGATAAAATTTAGATTTGTGGAAAATATTCTGCTCAGGTTCAGTACAATTCAGTATTAATATTGCTGAGGTTAAATTATCGTCTGTTTTCAATAATCAGAAAAAGTATACTATCAGACTATCATGATTTCTGCAACAATTTAATTTTTTTGATTAGGTTACAGTCATTACAATCATTCGTGGCTGCGTCCATTGCATTTTCATTGGCTATGAACAGAAAATGTAACCATTTTTGTATGTCTGTGACAAATGTTCTATTATGTTAATTGTTAATTCATAAACAAATAGCCTACACAATTCCATAAGATCTGGATAATCCAAGTAAATATAATTCATAGCACAGTAAAAGGCTAGTTCAAATCAAACTCGAGTTTTATAACAAATATTTATTACACAATTACATTAATGACACCAAGTGAATTGACAACTAGTTCAGTAACATTAGAAATGCATGAAAATGCCCACTTTTAGGCTGTTACTTAATAGATTAATAAATTAGTTTTATTAATAAATTTTACTGAAATAAAACAGGTTAATGAAACAAAAATGTTATGTTAAATTGTGAAACGTTTACAAAATCATAAAATATTCAAGACTTAAAAAAAAATGACTTTCATCATTCATTTATATTTCATTATTTTGTATATTTTACAAGAAGAGTCGAAAGCGAGTCAATACATATTTGAGACAATGTTTAAAGTGTGAGATTTTTCGAGTATGCTGGTGTTTAAGTGTTTTTTTTATCGAGTAATTTAAATGGTCTAGAATATGTAAAGACCCACTTTCAGTTGTGTTTTGAACCGCTACACTACAAAGAATAGTTATTTGTGTAACTAGTGAGCAAAGTGGCGCTTTGCTGCACACGAGAGCAATGTTTACGCACGAGCCGCAGGCAAGTGCGGAATGATCTCGAGCACATGTGCATATGTGTTTGCACTCGTGTTACACATTATATTTTTCCTACAGTCACCATAAAGCATATAAATAATTAATCTTTCAAACACTATACAGCACGTTTTTAGGTTCAGCTGGCAACACAAATAGGTGCCCTAGAGAAAGTAGTCACCAGTCCGTATCACTCCGCTATTATTTCTTCGGCAAGCAATGTGCTCCGCGACTTGAGAAAATAGTTCCGTATGTTTTTGTAATTTAAAGTCGTTTCCGTGCCTAAAAAAATGCTTTATAGGTATTTTCTTGTTTATTAAGATCAAAGGAATGTTTTAAAAATGTTTAAAAGAAAAGTCCAGAAAGTTCAGAAATACCAAAACTATAAACACGAAATGACAGGTGAAATCATAGTTATAATAGTCAATCAGCTGCTCATAGTATTATTATCTTTAAGTGTTGCCAACCTATTTCCAAGCGTACACGGATTACGTGCATAATACAACCACGCTGTTTTGTGTTGTTTCGTTGGAATCCTGATGTGCGCCAAAGTATAAACCGTACGACAAAGGATAAATATGCAGCAATTAGCAGCTTTCTGTACTATAAACAGTACAAGGAAGCCAACTTTGTCGGGTGACTGTAGGAAATAATTATTTTCTTCATTACAAAACTCATAGCATTTTTTAAGTTATTTATGCCTTCAATAATTTAAAGTTAACATTTACTTTAGTTGTTGAATATAGAAACAGCTGATAAAACAATAACAAATAAATATTTCTTTGTTTATGTCGACAAAATCCAAAAAAGATAGTAAACATTACTTTACTTTTACAAAGTAAACATTCATTTGCCGTAATGATAAATGTTCGTAGGTGATAAACACACAACGGAAACAGGTCATTTCACAGTAGTGTAGCGAATAGGTATTTTTTCATCATGGTAACTTAATTTAAAGAAGTAAAATAATTAAAAAGTTATGCACAAACTTTATTGGACAATGTTTGATGGGTATTAATTCTGATTTTAATATTCTTTTACCTCAGTGCAATTTACAAACATATGACAATATTTTGTATTTTTTACAACTAAGTGTGCCTGTTATACAACCAATGGATCACAACTTTTGATTCAAACTAGACCACTATTTCACAGATTTTCATGCAACCAGCTTGTAAGCTGGATTCTGTTACACGCTGAATCAACTTAAAACTTATTTAGTCTACAACTAACTAATTTCTAATTTAATATTTTACACAGGTTAGTGGTCTGCTTTATAAAGAATAACTAAACAAATATAATCAAAGGGTGTATGGTAAATCAAATTTAAAAATTGTGAACGTTTTAGGCATGAAAGGTAGAAGGAAATTAAACACCATTATCTAGATTAATTTGTGAACTTGTTTGGCTTAAAAAAATTTCTGTTGCCTGTATGAAATGGTAAAATCATTTACCCCATCTTTTTGTGAGAAGAAGGGAATTTACACCTGAGTTTTCCACATTTAACATTGATTTGAACATTAATCTGACAACAAAAGCAACAATCAATTGGCGTTACAATATAACATGGGATATTAGACTAGACATCCCACCCAATGGACTAGTAGTAGATCTTTCAACTAGAACATTGCTTTAACTTCTCATATAGAATTACTTCAGTGAATGGGCATTGAACGTTCTTTTTTTATAACTAGGCTGCAACTCAAGACGGAGATGGGATGTCTACAATCCTCCATCCATAGTTAGAGGTATAATCTTCAATCTTTAAAACAATTACTTGATTTCATCAACAATACAAAACTTGTATGAACAGTTGTGTTTGAGCTAGACAATAGTTGTATTATTCCTTGGCACATGTTTTTTTTAATAGTCTTGACTTTATAAGTTTGATTGAAACATTTAACATAATTATGTGATATATTTAACAAAACGTTTACCTATACAACAAAATACATTTTTACAAGACTTGTACTTAATATTAATACTTTTGCTTGAATAAAATTAGACATAGGGTTGGATATAACATTTGAAAATGAATATTTTAACCTATACAGTATTCCTACGTTGCTTACGAACTGATAAAAATTATTATACTTTGAAAAACCAAGTGCTTTGGGAAATAGTTTGTTTATTATTATTAGTTCACAATAACTACATTTTACAGATTAATACATGCGTTTTAAAATGTAACACTGTACAATAAATGTAAAAAAGATAAGTAAAGGTAATGAAATCGACAGGTATTCAATGAATAACCATTCGATCCGATTTATCAAATAATCAGCAGTTTTTGTTGGTATTTTTAAGGTTTTTAAATCATGAATATAATACCTTGTGCTTTTCGACACCAGCTCAAGTTTTACGATCGAGGCGAAGCCAAAGTCGGAAAATGAGCTTGGGTTGAAAAGACCTTTTTTGCGTGTTTTGATGAACTATATTTTTTATATAGTTTGATATAGTTTTGATGAACAAATGTCAGAAAAAGTAGTACTTTTCATGTAAAGATAACCACTCAAAATGACTTCCAACTTATTTTCATTTTTACTGATTTGCAAACAGACAGCTGTGTGGTAAGTGATCAATCATTTTGATTATTACAATTTATGAGAAACTATTAGAGAAGACTGTTAGAGTAGTTATGAGAAACTAGCTGATTTTGGTGAGAAACTAGACAATCAGATACAAGCACATCAGATATAAGCTGATCCGGTTTAATAAGTTGTTGTGATGCATATTTAACAAAATCAGCTATCTAATTGTTTAACTTATATTATCATCTGGGAGATAAGAGAAAACTGTAATTATTGTGTTAACGGAAAATATACCAATAATAATCACGGGCATCTAGAATATCAGGGTGGCCATTGGACTAAAAATATTCATAAATTTTTCCTGTTTTGAGGACAAGAAAAATTAAAGTCAGATCTTTGTAGCGTTGAATTGTACGAGTAAAATCTCTTTCGCCAAGAAGAATAAACCCGATTTGTACACACGTGATGTATAATACATAGAACTAAAAACTACTAAGTGGTAACACAGTTGAGTGTATACTAAGCCAAACTACAAACACACGTTGCAACTATTTTATATATCTCTTGTTTAAAACCTGATATAAAAGTAATATTCGTCACAGTGACTGTGAGAATCTCAAAATGTAAACACATGTTTCTAAAAATAACTACAGACTAAGCAATTCTTAGTGCCTTGAAAATATATTTCATAAATGTTTACAACACAATCCCTTACTAATGGCACAGTTCCTTTATAGGAAAAATGTCGGCTTTCATCAAACTAGACAGAAATGTGGATACCAAAGCCGGTTGTATGTAAAATGTACAAAAACAGAAGCATAAAAGTCAATAAACAGTTGTTGAAGCTTTTGATAAAGCATAATCCTGTTTAATATAAATTCTAGTTAAGTAAAATAAACAATCAATACTAGCGCATCTGTGAGCGTAAAACTCGTATTGGGGTTGTTTGAACAGGCTGCGGCATTGTTGAGTGGCAACTTCGCACCGGCCGGCCTATTTCCTTAGCAATAACAGTAATATTATCAATTGTAAACATAAACATTCCGCAGATGCTCCATTATAAATGTGTGCAAACAGCTGTTTTGGTAGGCCGGTATTGCGGAGTTGCCACATTTTTCTCGCCGCTGCCTTGTATTAGAGGCCATGATATCATACTTAGAATACACACATTAAAGGAGTCAAATATAGAAAATAAGCTAACAAAAAACATAAAATAACTGAAAATCTAATTCTGCTGGGTGTTTTAAGCTAAATAATGCTGGAAATAGTATCTTTTCGGAAAAGTCAATTTAACACCCAATTACAAATTGTTGAGCACCGTACGGATAAGAGAATCTTGATAGAACCTAGAGTGACTAAAAATGTTTGCTTTATATTCTTCTAGAAAAAAAACAAACAAACATACTTGAAACAAAAATTAAGTTATGTCATGAAAATCTAAAATCAATATCATTTGGGATTTTAAACCAGTAAAATCACAATCAGAAAAATATTCAACCAACAAAATAATTGAAGATGTAGTTGTGTTTAAAAAAAATCCTATATTTACATTTCAATACTACAGTCAAGGTGGAGATTCAAAATACATTGACGATATGTACAAATAAAGCTGATAGCTCTTTATACATGTGTGCGTAACCGATACTTTAACCTCATGACAAATTTACATTCGTGTTTTAGAAAATTCTCTTCAGGCAACAACTTTGAAGAGAAAACTTAGGCCATAGACTATTTATTCTAGTCTTTGGATATTTAAAATTTTGGTTGTATTACTCAGTAAATAAGACTTATAGATCAATTTCTTTAATGAAGTTGCATAAATAAATATTTACGAGATTATAACTTATTACAAAGAGAAAGTGTTTTACAAGCTTTTTTATTAAATCTATCGGTGAAAAATTTTAAGTAAGCTTATAGTTTTTAATAGGCCTACATGAAACAAAATGTTTTTGTAATAGTGTAATATTTTAAAAAACATGCTTCTTCTGAAAACTTAAATAAAACAATAATACAATGTATTTGATATTTCCAAGTAATATTTTCAGAGGCTTAAACGAACCACTCAAAAAAATATGTATAGAAGAATGTATATTCGTCATGTACTTTCAAGTGCCTTTCTCACAATTATTTACAAATAAATAAAAACAAATAAACAAATAAAATCTAACACATACAACTACATATCTTTCAGTCACATTAAAAGCTTTGAATTCAACAAAATATCCATCAATTTTCTCGTAGAGTTCATATACCCTATCTCAAAATATCACAGAACAATTACTAATATCAAAATCTACTTATTTGTCAAATGTTTAACCGCATATTTCATACTACTAAAATAAGACTGTAACCACTGCGAAAAGTGATAATATCCCGTATAATTTGCGAATTTGGAATTTCACGGGTGTTTCCACTATAAAACGTAAACTTTTCTCAAGCAATAACTAGGCCGTGTTTGCATTAAACACTGTTCTATCTTCAGTATAATAATTACATGACCAACATCCAAAACTTAATAAAACATAGATGTCACTATTGTCAATTGACAACTTGTCTTGGCAAAACTGGAAAAAATACTATGAAAGGCACATAATCGACATATGCTCAAATTAAAGCCATTCATAAAGTAATAAAACCTAAAATAAATACTAGAAAGGCAGCCGACACTAATCGTCAAACAGACGCTGTGGTTTCAACTCGTCTTCTGTGGCTTGCTGTTACTTGTCGAGGGTTTGCTGTCTTGAGAAGTTTGAGTTCCGCTGGAGGAAGCTGTCGGCTCTGTGTCATCTGAACAAAGAAGCTTTGTTAAATATAAGTTCAACTGATATTTACATTGACATACGAGGATACTCTGTTGATTAAGAGGTCCAACCAGCTCTCATGGTGGCTTTGAAAGCCAGTTCAGATCCGACACTAGCATTGTGTTTATTCCTTTATCCGTTGCGGATTCTAGTAGGCTTCCATAAAATCAAATAATCTTTATTCATTATTGGTATTTACATTGAACAGAGTCAAATATTATAACTAATGTCCTTAATTAAAATATGATTTGATAGTTACAAATAAAACTGTTTTTATGTTGTTGTATGACAATGACACTAATACAAATTTGTTATTTTACATTCCTTGAATACAAAAAAAATCTTTACTTGAAAAGATAGGATAAGTCAATAGGTAATTCTTTAAGGCGGGTTTTGAAAGTGTTATATTTTTCTTCACAAAGAATATTCTTAGGCAATTAACTCATCAATAACTCATTTGTTAAAAAAAAAAACAAATACAAAATTTGCATTAGTCAGTCAATCAATATCTTTACAACTAAAATTAAAATAAACAATTGTTCTTCAATAAAATTATACCAATGATATCCTTTAAAACTAACTAACTAAACCAATCAGCGGACTAACTAAACTCTTGGCCAAGAGTGTTTTTTTGTATTTGCTTTTTCAATTTGAGCGGTTCAAATCCGACTCCAGCCGAAGGTAGGGAGGGGGTAGAGAGTTAAAGAGTTTAATTCCGATGTAATGGAAGTGTCTCTTGAAAAATGTTGTTGGCAATTTAAGATGAGAATTGTTACGTAGTGAATAGGAATGCGTAGGTGAAGATTGGCATTGATATTGGTGTAGGTTCTTTTTAATGAGAATCAAAGTTTCCAAAATGTACATTGAGTGAAATGTTAGAACTTGTGACGAATAAAGTATTGCCTGCAAGATGTTCTTCTTTTCAAACCAAAGACCTGTCCTCTTTTGGAGTCGGAAAAGGAAAGACGTTTTCCCACACTCACACCCCTACATCGGCACAAGGTGTGGGAAAATCACCCATCTCTATGAGTGTGCATTAGTCTTACTAGCCAATAACAACGGTGGAAAATCACACACCAGCCAAGCATCGATTGCGTTCTTTGTGCAATTGTGTATCGTCTTTTGCCAATTATTGAAGCCGTTAATACACCATCTCGTCCAAACACTTTTATGTAAACACATCCGTCAGTTAACTACAAATTCAAATATGAATTAACAATCTTCTTCCTCTTTAAACTCACACTTTGAGAGTTGATTTTCCCCCACATAGTTATCGGCTTATGACAAGACTAATCATCACTTAGGCGTGGAAACCTGAAGAATAGCAAAGAATCGTGTAAAAGACTCTAGTGTAAGATTTCAATTAGCTATCTTAGCTCGGTTGATATCTGAATTTACACAAAAAAACTTGTATGAAAGAAAAATAAAGTTTGACTTTATATCTGTGCTGTTATAACCAATTTTTGTTCCAGCATTGTTTGGATAAATATGCAATGTTTTCTAATTCACCTTGAGTGGAAAGACCCTTGAGCTTGTCAGGAAGGTCGGAAGTAGAGGTGAGGGCGTGTTCACCGAGAATGTCTGGTAGAGCGTTGCGTCGCCCCGCTCTCCCCGTCGTCAGGAAGTCTTGGGTCACGTCTCGCGTGGCATCGGGCGACTGCTCGGCCATAGCACTCAGCATCTTTACCACTGTCAAACAGTTGCAATGAGAAACTAGTTCACATTGTTAGTATTACAGCTATTACTGATATTGATGATATCTTTGAGGTGGGTCAGTAATTAGATGGGCTATTCCAAGTCAGTGATGTTTCTGGTTTGATTCTCAGTATCACCAAAAATACTTATCAGTAAAGTTATCATAAAAGGTAAAGTTATTTATCAAAGGCACTGGCAAGTAGCCTATGTGAACAGGCAATTGTAAGTTGTAACCATAACCATAACCATAACCTAACTGGTTATGACCATCAAAGTATATAACACAACTGGAATGCTAGGTACGTGTTCACGAAAGCGCGCCGTTGTGGCAGCCTTCCCGCACCAACATGGGGGACCCAGCGGATTTTAGCCAATTCATCGAATAGTGCGCAAAGTTGTTAACTCGCTCCTAGCATTCAATAACAAAGATTAAGTACAATAATGTTTAGTTTATATATTAGTAATCTGCATTAAATGCAGAATCTAATGGTATAAATAAATTTTACTTTTGATTTAAAATAGAATTTCCATAGTTAAAAAGAGTTAACAATTTTTACATTGCGACATGAAAAAGTTAGTATGCGAGGAAGTATTTTATTTTTGGGTCAGAAGAAAACTGTAAGCGACAAAGTTGTAGTTTAAGAGATGATTTTTAACATGTGATCGAGCAATTTACAATTAAGTTTGTAGTTTGTTTGTAGTATAGTGATTAATAGTGCGACGAGGTTGATTTTATGTCCCACCAACCTCCTCAGTCCAGCAACTCTTTATGTTTGTGCTACTCGATCATTGTAAAGCTAAAAAAAATTTTAACCTTTTTTAATAGTTGATATAAGTTAAAGAATATAACTAACTATTCTATTGATGTGATCATATATTTCATTTATTTGCAAAAGATAAATATCAATACCGGTACCGGGCTGCCGCCCATGAATGAAACTTTTAAGGACACTGTTTTACAAAACCGTTTGTTTCTCCAATGCTAGGGACATTATGAATGAATGTAACAAAAATAAGTTAGGTGTAAGGCAGAGATTGAAGAAATTGGTTTTGTTTCACAACATGTAATGCAATCTTTGTACTATATTTAAGCACGATTGTGGACAGTAAAACATATTCTTAAAAGTAATGTTTAGTATTATTAACCAACCCCTTTTCTCTTATGTGTGATGATATGAATTTTAAAACATATACAGAATAACAATGACACTCAAAACACGTTTTACTAATCGTTTGTTTACAACATTATACAAATACTCAAATTGTCAAAGGAACACGACTAACAATTCGATTTGTAAATTTATTATTCAATTTTTGTTATTGTAAATACTTCATAGGTTTAGTATTTATGACCTTATCAATTATTTGATCTGAGCCTTAATATTTGAAATTTCTCATTAATTACCAAACAAAGCAGATAATACACAATCCCTTGTTACATTTAAACAAAGGGGGATTACCAGTCCCTGTCCCTGTATCTATAGTCTACATTTTATATTTTAATTTACGGTAACATTGTATGTAAATAGTTTACCTAGAAGGTGATAATTCAGTATTTAGTTATGTGTTACCTGTAATAAAAATGAATTTAATATAACTTTTGATTGTATTCAAAACGTTTCTGGGAGTACAGTAAACGTAAAGATCAGCGGAACCAGTGAGAAAGGCCCACGGCGCAATTTATAAATAACCTCTTTGCGTTACTAATTACTCCATTACACACGACTAGAAAATTTTATTTGAAATTGCTTGGTTATATGCTGAAGATCATCTCATTAGCTACAATTTTCTCGCTTGAAGTTTGCTTCTGACCAAAGAATAAAAAAATCCTCGCTTAAGGATTTTTTCATTCTTTTTCATGTCAAGGTGTGATATTTGTTTAACATTTTTAGTTGTTAAAATTCGAATTACGATTTAAATAAGAATATATTTATACCGTCAGATTCTGCAGTTAATGCAGATTCCGAATATATAACTTTAATTGCAGTCAACCTATTGTACGCATGGTCAGGAGCGTATTAACAACCGCGTACAGTAGACCCCCTCTTAACCGACCTCGTATTAACCGATAATCGGATTATCCGCCTTCGATCGTAAAATAATACAGTTTGTTTTGACCGACCTTGCTTTGAGAACAGCTCGGTTTAACCGCCGCTTTCTAGGAATCTCGGCATTTCCGCTCCCACGCTGGGCGATGAGAACTGAACCATATGCTTATCTCCACAGGATATGACTAACAATAAGTTGTTTTGTATTGATCACAAAAAATATAGCATAGCCTATTGTCAGTTTGTCATCATCCTTCGTAGCTCAAGCGGACATCTGATCTGATTCGTTATCTGTGTGGCAAATTTATAACATCATATTGTGCGTTATGATTTTGAGAACTGATTATCTTATCACTGGAGTAAACAAACAACGCAACTTGTAGGGAGGGCAGGGAAGGGGGGTTAACAACTCCAAGGTCAAGATAGTTTTTGTGCCTTGAGCCTCCAGTGAGAGGCAATAAATAAACATCCTGTCTTGTAACAAAATGGTTGCTTGTATCTTTAATTTCAACAAAATGTTGTGCACTGTATTACAATGGATTTGGAAAGCATCAATTAATACATAACAGTACTAAAGTTATTAAAATAGGAATTTTATTGACTCTTGCCTTTAATGCCTAGTATCATAATATATATTCCACTGAAAGTAGGCCTATTTGACTTAACCACGTTTTGTGTTCATTTGTGACTTTTCTATCAATACGAAAAAGGAGATAAGAGTAGTTCATTTTATAAATAATGCAAGTATGACTTCAAAATAATGATTATATAATTCCAAATGAATAGCAATTCATTATGTTATGATTTTAGGGATTGCCCGTTTTAACCGACCTTTTGAGTTATCCGCCTTAGGTCCGGTCCCATTAGGGTCGGTTAAGAGGGGGTCTACTGTACACGGCTTGAGGAACTGACATATCTGCGTTGGGTCCCCCATAGTGGTAGAGGAAGGTTACCGAAACGGCGCGCTTTTTATCCCACATCTCCTATCTACCCGGTGTTCCAGTTGTGTTATATACTTCGATGGTTATGACCAGAGGGGAGCACTACAACCATAGTGGAAGTGAAAGTTAGTGTTAAATTTGTTTTCTTAACAAAAGAACTGTTTATCAAGTTGTCATGTTTAATCTAAATTGCAAGGACATTGGGCTTTGTTTACACTGTAAACTGTAACACAGCTAAATGAGATAAAGTATTCAAAATGAAACCCTTGATTAAATACTAAATTGTCAGCAAAAAAAAAAAGGATTTTTATGGGTTTAGACAAAATCCAAGTTGACAAATTCATTTTAATTTGTTCCACTCATTACATTTTTCTTTATAAATATATAATTATACCCCAGCATTCATTTATTTTTTATCATAATGCAGTAAAACCAGCCCTTTTTAAAACATGTGTTGCGGGTCTAAAGTAACTGTTTTTGCCCTAAGGTGTAAATAGTCTTTTTAGTCCCGAAGAGTAAAAATCAGTTGTAAACATTGATTGTATGCAATCGAATGCATCAAAATTATATACCAATTAATTAAATCGGCTGTAGCTATTGTTGCATTCTTGTCAATAGTTTGACATATCGATAGCATTATGTACACTAACCCAATTGTAATAGACAAAATGATACTAAACAGCTGCTTGTTTGCATTAGCAAAATTAAAATCAAGTTGTAAGTACAGCAGTTTTGATTGATGACAAATATAGCTCATCACATTGGCAAAAAGTGTCTTTTTAACCTCCAAAAAGTTACTTTACGTGAAATTATGAAATTAAAATTTTCTTCAATACCTCCTAAAGTGAGTAATGTATACAGGGTGTATTTATTTTACTCTAGACACTTTTATTACTTTTTATGTGTGCAAACCTGTGGTAAAGTAGTATCACTGTTAGAACAAGAGAAAGTCAGTAGGCCCTAAAAGGACTGTGAACAACTTTCAAATTGGAAACAAACGCAAGTGAGGAAAGTAAATTTTAGTCAAACAATTTTCTTTAACGCCGAAGTCAGGAAGTTATCAATGCAAACACATGTAATAACCTCTTGGCTGTTTGATAAGTGGTTTATTTGCGTCACTATTCTTTGGATTTTATGAGATAACTACACTTATAATGTTGAACATTATGAGACATTTATAAAATTATAGTTTTGGATACTGTTAGACAACTCTAATACTTTGCAATTTCTAGTAAATTATAAGGCTTCTCAATTTAGTTATGGGTGTTATGAGACTGGCCATGAGCATTATAACATTTACATGATAAAAACTATAGGCCTAGACAGACACAATTATCGATTTCAACAACAATTAAGTGAGAAGTTTGAAAATTTGTCATAACAGATTTGAACTGTAATTCTAAACCTAACTTAAATTTTCTAAATAATATTTTAAAAATCTTACTGTTGATTAAATTCTTTTTGTTAAAATTGTGTTGTACTCGCTGATAATTTGTTAACCACTGGAAAATCTATATTTTAATGTTGTGATAAACAGCTTCAGTTCATAGTAGGGTATAGGAAAAAATATTTTTATAAAATTATTTGTTTACAAATTGTTGCTTTTACAAGATAAATTGACCATGAAAATTAAGTTTTCATAGGTAATTTAGTTCAAGCTTGCAATGCAATACTTTGTTGTGCTACAAAAAAGACATTATTTTACTCAGAAAAAAGTAGCCTATTATTAAATTAAATTAGACACTACAGTACTCTAAAAATGTGTGTAACAATGGTTTGTAACAAGTAAAAAAACCAAAACAAAAAATCTAAGAACTGTAACTTTTACATATAGCCTAATTAATAAAATGTATAGATAAAGATTAGCCTAAATAATTCATAAGTAACAAATAATTTCCCTTATTTAAGTGGTTTGTTTGTTAATTTTTGTTTTTATCAGATAGTTTAGTGAAAAAAGTTAAAAATAATGATTTTTTTACCTCATATCAAAAACATTGATTAAAAAATTATATTCCCTATCCCAATATTAGGTCTCATTTAGGAATAATAAAAACTACTTCGATACTGTAATTTTTTTTTTATTTGAACTAATCACACCGATTATTTTAAAAACCAATTCTGAAATTAAAATTTTACTCTTACAGAGGGAAAATAGAGATAAATAACTGTTGGAAAGATAAATTCCATCTAGTTCAAAAGATCATACTTAATCAAAAATGTAATACTTACACAAAGCGTAATTCAATTAAAAACTCTGCCACAACAAAAGCAACAAACTTAACAAAACTGTCCTTGAACGAGGCACATCACACGACGGACTAAATTGACACGCAATAGTCTGCATCAGTATTCAACTAGATGTCTCACTGAATCTCTTTCTCTATTTCTCATTGTTACCGACTGTGGACAAAGTTCCTCACAGTGACAAGACAAACCTGTTTTTATTTTTACAACCAATTGTTACCGATACACTTCAAGGACTTGACACTTCTCTACTTCAATTATTGGAGTTTACGGCTTCTAAGAACCATTTTCAGTAGCTGGTGAAAGTCTAAGGAGACAAAGCTTCACAATTGCAGCTCAGGACTTGGTAGAGACTATTGGTGGGTGTTATACATTTGTAAATTAGAACGGGAATTTACGATCCTCTCTATTATTTTTAAATATTTATTTTCTACCTTTCAATATTTTTAAAGTAAAAACCGGAAAACGCTCCTTGTAAATTTTCATCAATTTTACACCTATGGCGCACTAAAGATAGTTTAGAATGGCAATTGATAGTACAATGATAGCACTAAAGTAAATAATCAGACAGGGAAAGTGATAACAAAGGAAAGAACTAATCAAGAACTAGGAAAGAACGTTCGGCAGTGTGTCAAAAAGTGTCATGAAATGATAAGCTTTATCACTACCAAAACTTTTTGTTGGAATTTTAAAAATTATCCAGGACTATTATTGTTTGGTTATAACTTACTTAGATGAAATGTTTAAATCCTTTCAGCTACACTCTGTGGATGTCCTTAGTTTCAAGTTTCAACAGGGGAATTTTTGAAGAAAAAATAATTTGTTTAAACATTAGCCCTACTTAAATTTACTTTATTTACATTACATAAAGTAAAAATTTCATTCTGTCATGAAACAGATTGAATCAGATAAAATATAATAAAAAGCGCTTAGAGACCAGTGCAGTTGGTTTCTATAATCAATATTAGGTATTTATCTGTTTTCTTCGGTATATTTAAACACCTTCTACTTTATTTTTTTTTTGTCTTTACCTTTTTGCAAAACTTACAGTCATGAATTGACTTCAAAATGTTCCCACACGAAAGGCAGCATCTTTATTAGTCAGAATTTTGTTTTAATCTCTAATCTCAGACTTCCCTTTTTTCTAACCATTTTGAAAACAAGTACATTCAATCAATAAATACCCCGCCTCAGCAAACCTGCGAAATTCCATTTACCTGGCTGGAATACCACTAAATTATTCCCTTAAATTTTTCAGATTTAGTTCATATTTAAATAAAATTTATTTTAATGAGTACTTAGGTTTGCTGCAACAGGGAAGGTTAACAGGGAAGATGTGTTTCTTATTGAAATGTTGATAGCTTATTATGAAATTACAAAAATTGCCAAATTTGATTAAAATATATCCATAAACAACCAAACTGCAACAGTTTATTTATTCTCCAAAAGAATAACATGAGAATTTTAAATTTACAATTTTTTTAATTATCTCCATAACCGTTAGGCATACAACAACGCTTCAATATACAAAATTATTTACTTTTTTGAGCTCTACAAAATGGTTTAGAAATGAATTGCAAAATTTTATGTTTTTAGGGTGAAAAATGGAAAACCCCATTTTTACCCCATAAACCCCTGTTCCCATAGTCCGATCATGCTGGTTCGGGAACTCTTTCGAATAAAGTTAGGTTTAAACGTTTATACCAAATTTCATCAAAATCGGATCATTTTTGCTCGAATTATTGTGCTAACGGAACAGACAGATATATAAATATGTATATATGAATTTGAACGGATGGTGTTTTTGGCCTCTGGGGACCTCAAAACAAAAAAGTAAATAGGTCCCAGGTCCAGGTCTTACCATGAGTACTACGGTAATAGCTTATTCCCTATATGGGAAATTCGCTAAAAACAAGAGTATTTTATTAGTCGTTAAACGGGTATGGCATAATTTACAACATTAGCTATAAAAATATGTTTCCAACAAATGTTGTACAAGTTATGTATAATTGAGTATAATGATATCCACCACCTATTTAATTTAACCAATTGTTCCACCCTCAAACTCATTACCATGCTGTATGTTGAAACAATCACCATGTCAAATTGGGGATAGTTAAAATCAAACAATGGGCCCTTTAACCATATAACCATGCATAACCATAACCCTTATTGTTTTTTGTTCAAGCTTGACTTATAACGTTGAATTTTTTAAACCAAAATTGTTAAACAGAGTGATTAATTTTATAATCAATGTGATTAATTTTACTTACCATGTTAACTAACTTGTATCTTTCTGACAACACAAACTCTTTTATATTTCACAGGATAAAATATTAGCACAGTAAAATTATTGAGAAGCTAATTCAACGAACTAAAAGACAAAGCTACAAGAGCCTGACGATTAGAAAGGCTAAATTCTTGGCTACGATTCAAAATGAGCTGGTCAGTTTAAAAAACAATACTTTAAAAGCGTGACATGTAATTAAAAGTGTTACTGTGGAGGGTATTCACAGTAAAATAAATTATTTATAACATTCAAGTATTAAAATTGTAGCTAGTTTAATGGGAAAATGGGAAAACCATCGACAGAGTCTGTTACTGTAATCTACAATACTGTTTTGTCCTTGCATAACAACTTTTGATGCTAAACTGAAAGTATTACTCATTGCAAATGGCATCTGTTATGCCCTTACCAACTTAACTATCATAGTATAAAAAGTAAAATAGGAAATTTAACGTCAATGGTAGCACTCTTTGCAAAAACATTGTTCGATTAAAACTTCTTACAGAAAAACTGGGTACACAGCCTGTCCATAGAGGTTGTATGTATATTTTAGTACATCTAAAGTCAATATAAAACCAGTTCAAATATCTTCGCCACAGCAAACCATAAAACTAAGCGAATTTCAATATGCCTGATTGGATTTTCAATAAAATATAACATAAATGTCAAATTGATTCCCTTGGAATTAAATTGCAAAACTTTTATGTTTCAAGGGTCAAAAATAGAAAATCCCAATGTTTACCATATGAATCACTCCTCACATAACGACTCCCATAGTCTTATCATGCTAGGTTATGAACTCGTTTGAATAAACACAGTTTTACACATTTGTACTATTTAGTAGTACTAGTATTTGACCTACATAGTATTATCATGAAGACTACAGTATAGAGTTTCCTATAGGGAAATTTGCTTTATCACTAGGCATAACAATTTTTTGAAAAAGTCATTAGGCATCAACAAATTAGCTGCGAGTGTTGTTAGTATTTTCATCACTTTCAACTTATTTCAGACAATATCAGTGCATAATAGCTTGTAATGTGTTAAGATTATGTGAGTTAATCAAATGCAAATAGTATGGATTCACAATAAAGTGCAAATTTTGATGGGTTCTTACAAAAATATTTTTGGAGCAAAAGAGAAAGTTTATGTATCCAAGTCTAGTTTGTCCTACTTATTTATTGTATTTCATGGGCTAACATTTAATTTAGTTAAATATGTATCAGAACACACCTTGTAGAGTGGATGAATAAATAAAACGAGATTGTCGTTTTCTTACTACTCAACCCATTAAAAAAAAATTGGAAAATAGTAGTTGTAGCTTTTTTTCAATTACCACTAATCTTTGTGCAGCTTTATTTTATTATTAAGGATTTTGGGTATTTAACTATCAAGGCAAGTAGATATATATCTTTATACATATCTGAGAAAAATTAACATCAATCAAACCTAACTCTGTATAACCACAGACAATGGAAAATGGTATCCATCGTCTGAGGTAGGCACATGGCGAGAGCAACACAGAGCTTTAAAATAATTAATTTGAATTAGGTTACTACTCAGAATTCAAACATATTTCCCATAGAGATATAACTCAACCTTGTGAAAATACAGTTCTTTATAACCTACAAATCAGTATATCAATAAAACTACTATGATACTTCAAAACTACAATTTGTGACCATGCCAGTCCCAACCCATGAATACTTGTAAGAACCCTGTCTTATGTTAGCAGAGTTAGAAGGCCCAAACGTACGTTCAGCAAGCAATACATGCGTCGCACGGGCGGCTACCTGACTTGCGAGTCAGACGTCTCATGGGTGCCTGCGACTTGCGACTGCGACGCGGCGACGGACTGGAACCTTTGGTCATTCTCTGCTCCTACAACAAAATGCATGAACTATACTTATAAGTACTATAGTATACCCTCTCTTAACCGGGTCTAAGTCATCATGTAAAAGCTCGGTTAAAACGGTCAACTGCGGAAAAACATGTAAAATACTACAGTATAACATAGTGTCCTATCTCGTTCCGATTTCGGCCTATCTGTCTGATTTTTACAAAAACATTCATAACTCATTAACTGTTAGCTACGGCGTTTAAATTCTGTAAAAATGTTTATCTTATAGACTACTATGTTTGTGCAAAATATGAATAGAAACTCATTACCGTAACCGTTTAAAATTAGTGGCTTTAAAAAAAATGTTATTCAAATTCAATGAAAACCATTAATTTTACAAAATATTTTTTAAATGTTCCTTGTTTAAACGGTCCAAGAGTTTTTATTCATAATTTGCACAAACATAGTGGTCTATAAAATAAGTATATTAACAGAATTTCAACGACGTAGCTAAAACAGTTAATGAGTTATGAATATTTTTGTAAAAATCACAAACAGACAGATAGATCGAAAACGGAATGAGATTGAACACATGTTATACTACATTTTTGTTTCTTTTGATACTTGAATAAAGTGGCAAAGTTTGTTCATATGGTTGTAAGACAACCACAAATGCACAAAAACGTTTAAAAATGCATCTAGCAAAAGAAATGAATCTTTATCAAATAAATAACAGAAGCCTAATTGAAAAAGTGAGCCCCTTTTGACTTTACTTCCATAAAAAACACAGTCACCATCGATGCAACAAAGTTCTGACAGAATTGAATTACAAGTATATTCTTCAAAATAAATTTCTGTTCAATAAATGCAATTACTTCCTTGGTACTAATTTAAACAAGAGAACAAAGGTAGAGTTTCAACTTCTTTTTTAAACAGCCATGTCCAACTTTTTAATAAATTTAACCTAAATTTGTGAAAACAACAAATAAACAATTATTGAAACACAAAAAATTATCAATCTTGCAATGTAATTCATGTTCTATTAATATAGACTACTGATCAAAAAGGTGATAAAATAAATCCTATAAAGCCACATTATAAACATAGATATTTGATTTTTACAAATTTATGTAAATAGGCTACATAAACGAGATATTAAGATTACTACGGTACAATGTGTACTAACACAAGAAATATAAATATTACATTCATTGTTAACGTTCACAAAAGTTGTGAAACATACCTAACTGAACAAGCAGACAGCATTACGATAATGGAAGCGAAACATGAAACGGACATTACGTTTTAATTATTTCTTGACACTCCCACTGACACTAGCAAAGTACCAAGTATTATTTAATATTTGATGGTACTGAAGTACAGACTGAATTTCAAGTTTTCTACAATTGCATGTGAGATTTTCAACAGCATTTTATAACAAAACTAAAATTACCTTTACTTATGGCTAATGAAAATAGACCACAAAAAAGAGAAGCATTTTTGTTTTTAAAAGCATCAATTTAAATTTAATAACTTAACTCATGGCTGGAAACATTATGGTTTATCATTGACTACTGATAGTGCAAGATGATTCTGATTCTATCATAGACTCTGAAGCCTGTTTTGGTGTGAGTTTATTATTGACGATTTAAGTGCGCTGGTGTTGACTTAATATTTCTATTATTTTAGGGCAGATTTTAGGATTTGTGCTGAACTCTTGTTAGAGCCAAAAAACTTTCTTGTTCTATTCAGTTATAATAATTTTACAGTTGGCAAAATAAAATTATATTTTACCAACTATAGGCCTACTTTTGATTTAAACCCCATATTTTTTTTATAAAAACTGCTATTCAACAATGAAATCTGTCACAATACAGGGGGGAAAATCCTAAAAATATAACATAAAACATAAAATTGATTCACAAAAAAAAAAGAAGTATTCAAGAAAGAATCATCGAGACATCAAATTTTTCCTGTATAACTAATTCTGCTGGTTTGATGTAGATTTTAAATGGAAACAAATTGATATTATTGCCCCATTGGACTTTGATTTAATACAAAGTTGTATGACAAGTAGTATTAGGACCGGTACTATCTGTCATGGACTCTAAAAATAGACACATATTGATTGATACTTCCCTTGCATGTAACTTTTCAAGGTTGATCATTTATTCAAGCTGTCCACATTTTTTAGACTTAATATCTTGTGTTTACAAACTTTAAACAGTGAAACCCTATTGATTTCAACCCAAATGATCAGCTGTTAAAACAAATCAGCTGTTAATAAAACATTTAGTTTTATTGCTCATTTTATTATCCAATGAAACTAAAACAAATGACGAACTGTAATATTAATCCTTCATTACAGATAAAAACTATGGTAAAAGGACATATACTGAACTGTGTGGAACTGCAGGGGAATCGAGTTTGGCAGACCTCAGTCTCTAAAAAGATATTTTTGAAGTCTTAACCCTTCCCGGACGGGCGAAATCGTGACAAAGGACGGGCAAAAACCATAGGAAAAAATAAAAATTAATTTTCCTTTTTTGTGTTTTATTATACGAATATACATAAAATAAACACAATGGAACACTTCATACTGTCCGAATAATTTTTTACTCGTTTTTATTTGAAAAAAAATTATGCGGATATATCCGCTCCCCGTCCGCAGATGAGTAGAAAAGCTGCGGATATATCCGCCACCCGTCTTTGAAGATATGACTATGACAACGTTAGGTAATAAATAAAGAACAATATGTTGTTGCGTTGTTTATTATATAAAACTGTTTCAAGAAAATAACACTTCAAGAAAAAGTTGAACTACAATTTCAGTTTTCAAAAAGTTACAAAATCATTTTACGGGGTTTACAAGGTGCCTGTAAATAGTCCATTCTTATAAAACAAGAAAAAATAACAATAATTTCAGTTTTCAAAAGGTTACAAAATCATTTTACGGAGTTTACAAGGTGCCTGTAAATAGTCCATTCTTCTAAAAATAGTCTTTTTGGGTGTGGTACACCTCAAAACATGTGTCTGGATGTAAGTACGGTTTTTCGTCACATGTTTTACAAAAGTACACAGTTTCCTTACGAACTTTGTTCTTTGCACAAACATGACATCTGAAGGACCCCTTCGGTGATTTGCCCATAACATGGAGTTTTCCGTTCAGCCGTTGAATATCATTTTTCGGTCGTCCTGGTCGTCTTCTTGTAAAATTGCAGGTCTCCTGAACGTAGTCTCTTACTAAATCTTCCACAAGGCTAAGTCTAAACTGTTTGTGAGACATTGCTACTCTGTTGTTGTCTTCTTGCAAGGATTTATATAGAATATAAGAGTTTATAGTAGACACTTCAAGGAGCCAAAAGAAAAGTTTGCGATACCATTTTTTAGTACGCCTCATAAACTGATAACTAGATATCACGTGGTCAGCACGATCAACTCCACCCATGTGTTTAGTGTAATCTAAGACAACATCAGGCTTTAGAACAGGAGGTTTATTTGGCCACTTGCTGGGCTTCTCTGTCATCTCATTCCGGCTTATTTTGTGTTTGGTTGTAAGCATAGTTACCACTCTTTTGTCCTTCCAATAAATAACACCCAAGTCTTTGTTTCTTCGTGCTTCTACATCACCACAATTGAGCGGTTTGCTTAGTGTTGGCATTTCCTTTCTATTATAAACATATTTTTCTTCAGCAACTCTTTAGCCAGTTCAGGGCTATTGTAGTAACGGTCGATGTATACATGGTGACCAGATGGAGGGTCCAGGGGATCTTTTACTAAAGAATCGCAGAGTTGTAGAACAGTATTTGTTGTTTTCAAAAGCTCATCCTCGTTACCATCACTTTTACCGTAATATGGGCTAAAACTGTAAATATACCCATTCAGAGCATCAGAAAGAACAAACACTTTTAGCCCAAATTTTACAGGCTTGTCGGGGTTGTAAACTCTGAATGAAATCTTGCCCTTGAATGAAATAGTGCTCTCATCCACTGACACATACGAGCTTGGCGTATAGAATAGTTTACATTGCTCTTGAATTGTGTTCACAATATTTCTTATTTTGAGGTCACGTGCGCTTCCCTGTTCATGACTAAAGTGTAATCTCCAAAACAGCATCAAAAACCTATCTCGAGTAAAAACATCGGAAAAAAAGGGCATCTTGTTTACCCAGGACAATGAAAAGTAGTCCTTTATATCAGGCAACGGGTGAAGTCCCATATTCAGTACAACCCCGAGAAGAGCTCGGATCTCTGTGGTTGTTGTATCAGCCCAAACCTTTTGTTTCCTTTGGTTTTGAATAGGCAAACTTTGAGCATATAGGTTGGTTTCATCACAAATCAATTGTATTAGATTACTATGAAAGTAAAGTGAAAAGAAATCAATTGGTTTTGAAGTGAGATCAAATTCTGTAGGCAGATTACGACCGTAATTGCAGTTATAAATAGGAATAGTACTTACAGGTCCACTGTCACTGTCGGTCACAAAAGCATACTCCTTATCCCACTTCATACGAAGGAGTTTAGCTTTAGTTAGATTTGGTTGTTGTGCCTCTGTAGACCTCTTTTTAGATGGCTTTTTAGAGTTCTTTGCAAATGACTTTTTGGACGCCATTGTAGATTCATTGGTTGAACTATGAAGGCTTTCTTTTTCCGAGTCAATAAAACTTGAGGCATTCCCAATATCGTCCTCACTAACTTGTTCATCACTAATACTTTCCACTTGAACCACATTACATTCATTTTGAGGAACATCAGCGTCTTTGTCATTTTCGGATACAAAACCATTTACTATATCAATATCATTTCCATCGATATTTGCATTATTTACATCACAACTACGCACAGATATGTTGTCATCTTCGTCCAATTCCATCCCATCAACAGCAACATCACCCTCCGAAAAACTCTTGTTCAATAACTCAATAATATCACCAGAAAAACTAGTACTATTTACGTTATAAGCCATCGTGCATCACTATCTCATTCTGCTAGACAGACAACTGTAACATTTGGCGCCAACACACAGACGTCGTGGGGGGTGT